AATCTCCTCTCTTGTAGTTTGAAGCCATTGTTCCCTTGCGTCCTCGTCTCCAGGGAAGCAGAAAGGAAGCTTGCTCCCTCCTCCTCCCTATGGTTTCCTCTCACATATTTATACTTACTTACTTAGACGATCCCTCGTTTTCCGAAGAGGATTGTCTTCCAACATTCTTGTGGGTCCGTATGTGGCTGTGGAGCCCTCTTCTTGCTCTGCATCTTCTCCCGCAGTGAGGGCATTGGTTTCCAGGCGGAAGGCGGTCCCGGTCAGGGTTGGCTTGACGCGCCTTCCTCCTGGCACATTTTTCTCTTTCTCAAGATAACCTTGTTCAATTGTTCCTCAAAGGCTACAAAAACCTATACCCTCCAGTTTCTCCCCCTGCCCCTTCATGGAGCTTAGAACTAGTTTTATCCCAGTTGTCTAAGCCACCCTTTGAACCTATGTCTTCCGCTCTAATATCCCACTTATCATGGAAGACTGCTTTCCTATTGGCTGTTACATCGGCAAGGAGGGCGAGTGAGCTCTCTGCCCTCCGAGCTGACCCTCCTTATGTTCGTTTTCATGAGGACAAAGTAGTCCTCCGCACAGATGTTACTTTCTTGCCTAAAGTGGTCTCCCATTTCCATATGTCCCAGGACATCACTTTACTGGCCTTTTTTCCTCACCCGACCTCACCGTTGGAGGTCACACTTCACTCGTTAGACGTTAAAAGAGCACTTTCTTTTTATATACATAGGACACAATCATATAGGAAATCCCCTAGACTCTTTCTTAAATACAGAAAAGATACCATGGGTCAACCAGTGACTTCCCAAAGACTCGCCTCATGGATTATATCTACCATTAGACTGGCTTATCAGTTAGCAGGTAAAGAACTACCACTCCACATTACAGCCCATTCTACTAGATCAGTCTCTACCTCTCAGGCTTTCCTTCGTGGAGTACCTCTTGACCAGATCTGCAAGGCAGCAACTTGGTCCACACCATCGACGTTCGTGTCTCATTACAAGCTTGACCTGGCGGCTAAGAAAGACGCAGCCTTTGGCAGAGCCGTACTCTTCTCCTGTGTGGCATGACCCACCTCCAGGTCAGTAGCTTGCTATTCTCCCATCAGTGCTCATTTCACAGACGACACGACAAAGAATCATAAGTTGCTTACCTGTAACTGTGGTTCTTTGAGTGTCGATCTGTGAAATTAGCACGAACCCGCCCATCCTCCCCTCTATGTCATGCCTTTCTGGTTTTTTCCTTGGTTGCTGTCTGGCGCTAAGGAACTAAAGTGAAACCACTCTGTGGGTCCTTTATACGTGCGAGGGGGGCGGGGGTGGGTGGGCGTGGCTTCTTATAGGTTAAAAAAACTCAATTAAAGCTATAGTATATTCCGAATTTCTGCGCAGGCGCACAGGAAGACCCATCAGTGCTCATTTCACAGATCGACACTCAAAGAACCACAGTTACAGGTAAGCAACTTATGAATCTGAACCATATTGTGGGCTTTTTTGTTGCTGTTTCCAGGGTTTGTTTTTCAAATTGTTCCATGTAGAAGTTAGCTATGACCGGGCTGAGAGGGCTCCCCATAGCTACTCCATCTTTCTGTTTGTAGAATTCATTGTCCCACTGAAAGTAACTGGTGGTGAGGCAATGGTGAAACAGAGCCGTGATGTCTTCTGGGAACCTCTGGTTGATGAGTGCCATGGTGTCTGCTACCGGGACCATGGTAAATAGAGATACCACATCGAAGCTGATCAGTTTGTCGTTGGTATTTAGCTTGAGATTGCTGATTTTTTCTATGAAGTGGGCTGAGTCCTTGATGTAGTGTGTAGTGAGCCCAATATGGCTTTGTAACTGTGCAGCAAGAAATTTTGCTAGGTCGTATGTGGGGGATCCAATGGCACTCACGATGGGTCTGAGTGGGGTGGAGTCCTTATGGATTTTTGGGAGTCCATAAAGCCTGGGTGGAAGGGCTTCCGATTTATATAGCTGTTGTCGTATGTCAAAGTTGATTGAGGAGTTCTTAATCAGAGTGTTGGTTTTCCTGGTTATTTTGGAAGTTGGGTCTTGCTTGAGTTTTTTGTATATAGTAGGGTCCAGGAGTTTTCTGATCTTCTCCTTGTATTGTTCTGTATGCATGATTACTGTGGCATTCCCCTTGTCTGCTGGCATAATGAGGATATCAGGATCTGAATTGAGGTCTCTGATGGCTTGTCTTTCCTTCCTTGTAATATTACTGGAGGGAAGTTTTGCCTTTTTCAGGATCCTTGCTGTTTCCGCTCTTACTTCTTCTGCTTCTTCCTCAGGGAGGCGATAAATTGCTGATTCAACATTGGCAATGATGTTTTCTACTGGGATCCTGGTGGCGGTTTCAGCAAAGTTTCCTCCTTTCGCTAGAATGGATACTTGGTCTTCAGAGAGTTGTCTGTCTGTCAGGTTGATGATGGTCCGCGATGTATCCAGTTCTGGTTTCGGCTGTTGCTTTTGGACCCCTGTATTAAAGGATTCTGAAAAGTTCAGAGTTTGAGGCCTCAATGCATTTCAGTGTCTAGGTGCATGACATACAAATTTGGTACATCTGGACCAAAATGTAAACTGAATAAATTTCTCAATATCTTGTTTTTTGTTTTCAAGTAAATTAAGGACATTTCTACTTGGACACATTGCCCTAGATTCACACGCTTTGTTAGTATATTTGTGCGTATGAAAAATACAATGAAGAATTCAGCTCCTAGGGAAAGGATCCAAAGGGAGAATGCACTTTATTATGAGATGTATACAGTTGTATACAACAGTTGTTTGAGTTATGTTTGTTCTTGGTAGTTGTGTACAGTGAGTTGGATTGTGAACGTACCATTTATTTTAAAGTACAAATTATATAAAACTTGTTATAAAACATAAATCATATGGTAGATATTACCAACTCTTGTTCTCCATTCTAAAAAAGGCTTCCAGTTGGTAATGATGCATGTAACAAATAGGGGCTTTAATGGAATTTCCAAGTTAAATTCCCTTTAATTAATCTATAACTAAACTTTATAAAAGAATGCATTTACAACAGTATATTTTCCTTGCTGGCTAGTGCTATAAAGGTACTGTTCTTTCTTTGTAATGTGAGACTGAAATCAACCACACGTAGTCAAACTGCAGTAATAGTGTTTATTTTGCTTTTTGGGGCAGGAAAATGCACTGCATATACATTAGAAGTGCTAATATTCATTTAAATGTTTTTGCTTCACATGCATTGCCAGTGCTGAGATTGAAGTGGCAAAACTGAGCCTTGTTGGTCTTCATGTGGGAAGATTGCACATGTGTGTGTATATATCTCTATATATATCTATATATAAAAATAAAAAGCTATCCCAGTTATCTTAATATTGTTAGAATTGCAATAGCTTTCCATGCTTTTGGACAGGAGACTTTTCCAGCTATTTGTGGAGATTTGGTTGTTGTTAATTTGTGTGCATGTATGTGTATGCGAATACAGTAGACTCCCAGTTAACCAGAACTCAAGCAAGCAGAATTCTCAATCAACTGATAAAAAATTAGATTAATAATACTTTAAATAAAAATATAATAAAATCATTTTTAGTACAAATGTAAGATTAAGTTTTTATTTGTCTTTCTTTGCTTTTAGTTCCCATATTTCAATATTCAGATCAAGTCAATACATATTTCATGATATGGTATAGTAGCTATTGGGTGGGTTATTTTAATTGTAACTTTCAAGCAACTAGAAACTAAATTTATCCAGCATCTGCCAATCTCCATGGGCTAACTGAGAGTCTACTGCATATTTGCTATGTATGCAACTGACCTGGGCTTTACAGTAGATGGCAATGATTGAAAGGACAGGGCACTTAATTTGTGTGCAGAAAGTCCCAGGTTCCCCGGGTAAGATTGGGAATCCCACTTTACTAGAATCCTTGCGTTACTTTAAAGTACACTTTGAAGACATTGTGATAATTGAAGATTTCCTATGAATCATGAATCAAAATGGGAGACGCAGTAAAGAAATCAGAAGACTTGAACTTGGAATGGCAGCTATGGAGGAGCCACACGAGATCCTCAGGATTTTTCATAACAGGGTGGTTCCAATACCAATATACTTTGTGAAAACTGGACAATGAAAAAAGCTGTTGGAAGAAAATCAAGTCATTTGAAATGTGGTACTGGATGAAAGTTCTGCAGTTACTCTGGACTGCTAAAAGGACAAATAAACAGGTCCTAGAGCACGTCAAGATCGAATTGTTCTAAGATGACTAAACTAAGACTTTTGTACTTTGGCCATATTTTGAGAAGGCATGCCTCACTAGAAAAGACAGCAAATTTATCCACCCATTACAGGTGGATGAATTCAATGAAGGAAGTCCAGAGTTTGAAAGAACTGAGCAGGCCTGTGAATGATATGGTAACTTTGAGATCTCACATTTACAGAGCCATCATAAATGGAGGTCATTTTGATGACAGTTAATAACAATACATTTTTGATAGAAGAACTAAGTGTTGCCTTATAATATGGTAATTTTCAGATCCAGGTTCCTTTCATTATAAAAATTATTGCTACAACAGGAGGTAAGGCACTTAATTTTTACAAGACATGGAAGAAAGAAAGAAAGAAAGAAAGAAAGAAAGAAAGAAAGAAAGAAAGAAAGAAAGAAAGAAAGATATCTAATATTATATTAAACAGCTTTCTTTCATCTGGACCTGAGAAGGGTGCACAAGTTAGTTGTATAGCTCTGACAGTGATGGTTAAAAAGTCTCATTTCAATAGACATACTCTAGATGGAATTGATGTTGAGTTGACATAAAGAATCTTTATTTTGTATCTGTACTTGAAGATTGTACTGTTGAAATATTCATTCTTGCCTCAAAATAGAATGTTTTAATAATTATAATTATAATGGAATGCTTTAATAATAATAATAATAAATTTCCATAATAATGGAAATGAGAGATTGCAGGGTGGGGAAGAGAATGGAAATAAATGTTTTTATTTTTGTTTTACATTATAGGGATTTATTTGTCCACTTTGTATGAAATCCCATGGATCAGCTGAAGAACTTTTCAAACACTATGAAGCGGTTCATGAATCTGGTGTCGACGCAAGTCATGGAGGCGAATTGTCTCCAAAAAGGTGCTTCCAATATTGGTTCTTTGTTTTTTATTACTTAAATTTATCATAACTGCATTTTAAGCATCTACTAATCTGAGTACTACATACAGTAATATACTGTGTATTGTTGAAGGTTTTTATTGCCAGAATCACTGGGTTGTTGTGAGTTTTCTGGGCTGTATGGCCATGTTCCAGAGGCATTATCTCCGGATGTTTCACCTGCATCTATGGCAGGCATCGTCAAAGGTTGTGAGGTCAGACCTCACAACCTCTGAGGATGCCTGCCATAGATGCAGGCGAAATGTCAGGAGAAAATGCTTCTGGAACATAGCCATACAGCCTGGAAAACACAACAACCCAATATACTGTGCATTTCAAAATGATGGACCCATTCAAAACAATATATTTCACAGTGGCAACATGTTATAATTACACAAAAAATTACAAATAGTTTAATGAGTCAACATTAAACTATTTGTAACGGCGTTGAGCCAGAAACAAACCTAAAAAGCAATTCCACCTATGGAGAATATCTCATTAGTTCTTATGTTGCAGGGTTGCCATCTTGTGAATGAATGAGGTTGAGGCTGTGCTGGGAGAAGCATCTAGCATTTATCATTTTTAACTCTGGGCCCCACCCTTTCATGTGGTAAGCATTTCATTCATGGGTGGTTGCAAGGATATAGTTATTTCATATCAGGTCCATCTTTTTGAAACACCCTGTATGTTCATCAGAGAGCAAGTGCAATGTAGTGGTCTGAGTGTTGAGCTACAGCCCTGGAGATCAGGATTTGAATCCCTACTTGGTCGTGGAAATTCACTGGGTTACCATGAACAAATCACATCTTCTTGGCCTTAGCAAAAAGCAGTGGCAGACACTTCTTAACTCAATCTTTCTAAGAAAACCCCATAATAGGTTCACCTTAGGAGTAAGTCTGAAAAACAACATTTTAATCCACTGAGTAGAAATGTTGTATAAAGCCTGCTAGGTTTTCAAATATCTGTTTTCTTTGATACAGAAAAATAATAACATGTACTAAGATTACTTGCTACTTCTGTAGTGGCTTAGGTAGTCATCAGGTGGTTGTAGTGAAATTCCCCTGGCTTTTTACAAGGGCAATTAAACCCTTATTTTCCAGTCTTAATCAGTTTTAATGATTACATTTTGGCCACATTTGAACATTTTTTTGGCTTAAGCTGAGATAATTAATTGAACCTATTTTCTCATTGTATACTAATTAGGAAGCCATAATTACTAACTTTGAAATAAGCCAGGATAATATACCTTGAAGTTGATTTATTAGACCAGTGTTTCTCAACCTTCCTAATTCCTTGATATTAATATAGTTCCCTTAATATAGTTCCTCATGTTGTGGTGACCCCCAACCATAAAATTATCTTTGTTATTTTTGTTGCTACTTCATAACTGTAATTTTGCTACTGTTATGAGTTGTAATACATGCAGAATGTATTTCATTCACTGAACAAAATTAGGTACAAATACACTTTACACCCAAATTTGAATACTGGTGCATTCTGAACTCTACCAATGATGAAATTGAACCAAACTTGGCACACAGAACTCCCATGACCAACAGAAAATACTGGAAGGATTTGGTGGGCATTGACCTTGAGTTTTGGAGTTGTAGTTCACCTACATCCATCAAATGCTGTGGATTCAATGATGGATCTGGACCAAACTTGGCATGAATACTCAATATGCCCAAATGTGAACACTGGTGGAGTTTGGGGAAAATAGACTTTGACATTTGGGAGTTGTAGTTGCTGGGATTTACAGTTCACCTACAATCAAAGAGCATTCTGAACCCCATCAATGATAGAATTGGGCCAAACTTCCCACATAGAACCCCCATGCCTTGAAGGGACTTACTGGCATGAGTCTCCCTTTAATCTTGCACGCTCTCCCTTGCCCGCACATGTGCAGTACGCTGCTATTCACCAAGAATGCCTCCTCTCCCCTCCTCACTTGGAGTCTCAGAAGCTGCCCGCCCCTTGGCTATGAGGCCGGCTGAGAGGCCGGCCAATCACATTGGAGGAGGGCTTTTGGTGGGAGGATTCGTTGTCTGTTTCCAAAAAGGAAGAGAAGGATAGGCAGAGAGATCTTCCGCCTTCTCTGCCAGAGATGTTTCTAAGACCATCAGAAATGTTCTTTGGTGACTCCTCTGAAACCTCTTCATGACCCCCCCCCCCCCAATGGATCCTGATCCCCAGGTTGAGAAACGCTGTATTCGACTGAATTATTCCAAATCTGGTAACCATTGTTTCCTCATTCACACACACACACTTAAACAGGTGTGGCTAATTTAACATATTTTGGTTTAAACCCTAGAAACGGTACTAAAATGATTGCATGTGCAATTCAAAAAACCATAGCTTAAGTCAAAAAGTGATAATTCAAATGTGACCAATACGTAATCATTAAAATCTGATTAAAATTGATGTTCAAAGCACAGCTAATAAGCCCCACTGAAATATAGTTAAAATGGATTGCCCTTCATCTTCAGTCGTGTGTTTATTATTTCGATGTGAGGGATTAAAAAACATAGTTTATATTACAATTCAGAAGGCTAATTCAGACTTTCTCCTCAAATATATTGTCTTGGAAATAAATATTTTAATTCAAATATGCTGTAAGTTTAAACGTTTCTATCCTTTTTTAAAATATGGTCTGTGTTCAGGGATGACATAACACTACTGCGGCAAGAAGTTCAAGACTTGCAAGCTTCACTGAAGGTTGGAAATGTGCATTATTTCAAATTGAAAATTACACCAGAAGATTGTCAAAGCTATAAGCTCATAAAGTGCTTTTAATTTTATTTGTTCAGGAGGAGCGATGGTACTCTGAAGAGCTGAAGAAGGAATTAGAAAAAGTTCAAGGGCAGAGGCATCAAGTAATTGCTTTAAAAATAATTGAAGCAGGTTTACTACAAGCAGTTTGTTGTCAGCCTTGAAAAGGAAGATTAATACCTTTTATTTGTTAAGGCACGTGGCCAGATTCCATTAGTTTCATAACTTGTTTATTGAAATAATGTGTGTAATAGGCCTGCATTGTGTTCCCCCTGTGAATATGAGGAAGGCAGTATCATTAGATGCTTTTACTTAGTAATATTCCCTTATCCTATTTGTTGTGCCAGCACAAAATGAGTTTTTTTTCAAAACATATTGTCACATTTTCATTCCACTGTTTCACATTTGTCCTTGGCAGCTTACTGAGCCAATAACATCAATTTTCTTTTCTATGACCCATCCAGTTCTCTCTCCTTGGCTTCCTCAGTCTCTTACATCTTCCTACTCCACCTACATTACTTGCTTTCTTTATTGTCTTATTGTTAATATCTCTTTTTCGTTTAGCTCTTCCCCAATCCATTGAAAGCTAAGGAGAATTTACTTAAAATGTTTCCAATTCAGAAAATAACATTTGCTGATACAGCTCATATTTCCAAAAATTAATTAAAGTAGAAAGAATATTTTCTGTCTTTCATTCATGTGCATTCTATTTTTAGTCAAATTAATATTTATCAATAAAATATAGTTACTGCACAAGCTTTTATTAATTTTAGGGAAGTGTTACAGAATTTAATGGTGATTGAATAATGGCTTAGGTTCCTAGTATGTGGTGAGTCATATAAGCACTTGTTGTGTAGAGGTAAATTTGTTATTATTCCACCATACAACCTTGTTTAACATCTTAGTTTTTGTATTCTGTAGTGGCAATTGCATAAATAACCAATTGTTCAATTACTTGTAGTATAATTGTTCAATTAATTATCCTAACATCTTGTGAATGCATTTCTATTATCTTCTGCATCTAATTGCCTTCCTTTTTTCTTTTTAAGGAGAATAAACCTGATGGACTGGCAGGTGCTGCACCTACAGGTGATAAATATTTTAAAAGTAGTTTTTGTAGTGGTGGTCTAGTGGGGCTGGGAAAAGAAACAATCTCTATTAATTCTAATTGTCAGAAACTACAGTGAGATCCACATTTCATAAGAAGAGTTGTAACATTTATTTCACTGGGACTCCAGTTCATCCATCAAATTATAGTGATTGTCACAATTTTTGTTGTTTTATGTTAAATTAGTAAGGGAACATGGGGAACATATTAAGAGCTAAGAGATGGCTTAGGCTGGATTCTCAACTGTAGCCTGTTGCTTAGTGATGAAATTATTGTACGAAAGCAGAAAATAGTTTGTTGTCTTGTTTCATTTACTGGCTTGATAATGAACTATGACCGAAAGAAATCTTGTTGCTCCATTGAAACTATTATCGATTACTGCCCCTAGATGGTTCCACTTAGAATTAAAAAAAATTACAAAAGTTTAGGTGTTATTCATCTAATATCTATTTAACTTTTATGTCTATTTAACTTTGTTTTTAACTGGACAAATGTTCTATCTGACTATGTTTTTATTTTAATTGCATTTTTGTTTTAATGGATTGTTTTGTTTATTGTCTTATGGACATTTGGTCCCATGTAAGCCACCCCAAGTCCCTTCGGGGAGATGGTGGCAGGGGATAAGAATAAAGTTATTTATTTATTTATTTAAAGCATTTATATTTAGCCCTTCATCTCGATCTTCTGCATTTAGTTGGCACGTTTCCCATCACTGCTTTATTGCACTGTCCCTAAAGCTTGGTCCCACAGCCAAGTTTTTATTATTAGTATTGGTATTAGTAATAGTATTAGTATTATGTTTAACAGGGTTATTAGGTTACATTGTGTAACTGTGAAGTTTTAAGTAAACTCTGAAATGTGAATTCCGAGTTTCTGTGTGCAGATGTGAGAGGTATAAGTGCTTAAGCAGGTCTTTGTATGTCAGTAAAATAAGATTATTCTAACATATATTATTCCACCTTGAATCACTGAATAATTACACTTCCTTTTTAGAATTGGAAACATTAGAACAGCAGTTAGAAGAGAGTCAAGTAGAAAAGTTTAATATTAAGCAGATGAAAGACTTGTTTGAACAGAAAGCAGCACAACTTGCCACAGAAATTGTGGGTAAGTGCACAATTATTTTGTCATGTCACTTTTCTTTGTGTAAAAATTGAATGAATGAGCTTTTTTTGTTTCTTTTCCTTTATTGAGATCTTAAAGCCAAATATGATGAAGAAAAGAGCCTTCGAGAAGCTGCAGAACACAGAGTGGCAAATTTGACAGAGGAATTACAGAAAGAAAGAGGTGTATGTGAAGATTTGAAAACAGAGCTGGCAAGTCTTATTATGTGATCATGTTTTAATCATGCCTTGTCCAAAGCACGAGGGGATGTTTTTAGTTGTTTTATAGTTTGACCTTTAGTTTTTGAAGTCACCTGTAATTCTTCATCTTCCAGACTAATTAATTTATGGTAGAAAGAACGCTGGGCAATGACAAATAATGTTACTTTGATTTGAATTCAAGGGGAAGGGGGAATATCTGTAACTTTTAATCCTTCTACATGACCCCCCCTCCAACCCCCATCCATTTGCTAGATTTGTTATGGCACAGACATAACAAAAACAAGATTCTTGTAGAACATCTCTTGAAATTAAAGTAAACAGTTTAAACATGGAAAATGAGATATTGGAGTTGTTATTTGAGAATTGGTGTAGATAGCACATGATACAGTCACCTTCTTGGAGATAAACAAGCTTAAGTGTGGTCAGTTTAGTAGAGCAATATATTTGAACAATTTATTATGCTCTCAATTTAAGACATTGAGAACTGAAACATTTAGAAGCTATACGGAAAGTATTTGCCTGATTTCCACAAGAATAATGGTTTTGCTTTTTCTTTTGCAAAGCTTCAGAGACCTGGTGTGGAAGATGTTGCTGTTCTTAAGAAGGAATTGGTTCAAGTTCAAACACTTATGGACAATATGACCTTGGAGCGTGAGAAAGAATCGGAGAAGCTGCAAGATGAGTGCAATCATTTGCAAGCAGAATATACCACCTCACAGGTAACAGATATGGCCAAAACATATTTTCTTGAATCTAAGGTTCACCTTTTTAGACCAAATTACATTGCAAAAAGTGAAGTGTGCATTATTTTAAATAGTGTGTTAGAATCACAGACGCAAACCTGCCTGCTCCCTTCCATCAGGCTGAGAATGGCGAATACGTTAGTCTCAGCCTGACTGGAGGGGCATGGCTTCACAATTGGACTCTTTCACAAGGCTTTCACAACCTCTCTCTTGGTTTTGAAGGCCTCATGAATGGGAATATTGCCAGCCTCAGCCTGATGGAGGGGCATGGCTTGCCCTTTCTGTCAGGTGTTCCAAGTTGGTTAGAAGGACAGCCAACAGGTAAGGAGTAGCTGTAATGGCACATTATACTCAAGTAACTATGGTAATTGAGTCCTCCTTTGAATAAAAAGAAGTAATATTAATCCACTTGCGTTAACTGGACCCTTTAATAAATTAGTTTGGTAATCTTACCATCATTATCAGTTCTTATCATTTTTAGATGCTTAGCAATGTTGATAAATCCAATTCTGTTCAAGTTCATATGACTACTTTTGATCACAGATGGCAGTGGAGGCATAGTATTAGAATGGTAGAATGTTTAACCACCCTGAGTCCCCTTGGGGAGAGAGGGTGGTCTATAAATACATAAATAAATAAATAATAATTTGTTCTCTATGTACTTCTCTAATTTGTTTAAATTAATTGTTAATTTTAATTAGAGTAGACCTACTGAGATCAATGAGATTGAAATAAAGTCTAACAAATATTCATTTTAATAGATCTACTTTAGTTGAGATGAATATTGGATTCAGCTTTTGAAGCATACAGTTTACATTCCAATGTCTTAATCAGAGTGCAGTTTTTTAAAGTAAATAATTTGTTGTCCAACAACAGTGTGGACTGAATTAGTTCTTTCTGCCATTGTCTCGGTCACACCACTATCATGGCAGTAATTGGAAGTAAAGCATTGCTGGACCAGTGGATAGATTTGGTCCCTGGGGCCTTCTGGGCAAGGGGAATGCTCCCTTGATGCCTGGTCACTGTTAAGATCAATAGAGTTTACTTTCAAGTAAGTAGGTGGAACATTGTGGCCACAAACTGTCATCTTAAACAGGCTCACTCAAGACATAAACTCACCTAATTCATTTGTAATTTCATTTGAGTCCAGTGCACGTTTGAGGTTTCTGTCTGGACTGTCATCTCTGCGTTCATCAACATCCTGTTCCGTCAGTATTTGTTACACTTTTACTTTTGATGACTACTGCATAGTTTTTCATCTACATACTGAATTATGTGTGCCCTTGGTATCTCTGGGGCTTTGGTTCTAGGTCCCCTGAAGACATTTAAAAATGTGGCTGAATGTAATGGCAGAAGGCAACTATGGGGCTAGTGTGAAGCCTTAGCCTGCAGGTAAACTGCAAAGCAAGCTTTCTTCAGACTCCATTACCTCTAGTAATATATAAATGCAGAAGTTGCCAAACAAATGAAACCAACAACCTGTACTTGAGATCTAATGCACCCAAGCTGAGAAGTGGTCCCAGGGGAGCAGTGAAGGCAGTAGCAAGGCCCAGGTACCCATTCTTATACCTTGCAATGGTGGAGATGAAGAATGCTTACTTTGCAAGGTACTTTTCCAGTGCTGCCACCCACTCCTGAAGCTTAAGGAACTTGTGCACATGGTGTTAGGGAACACTACCCTAAATATATAACAGAGCATCCAAAAATCAAACAGGATACCAAAAGTTGAGCATCAGCTCACAGCTAGCACAGTGTGGAGTGCCCTTGGTTTTGGCTGTAAAAAATGTAGAGCTTAGGCAGGCAAAGATGCAGAGTCCAATCTCAAATCAAATCAAATCATTTATTTCGGTCATTGACCAGCACAGGGAGTCCAATCTTAAAAATCACAAAAAGGTTTATTTACAATAAGAAGAAACAATAACTGCAATTCTTAATAGGAAAGAACTGGGTCTGAGGTATTCTCAACACCCATCTCTTATACCGTTTCAACACCAATCACTACATCTCTCTGACACACATGTAGAGAGAGATCTCAAAGCACACAGCACATACTCGATGTAAGAAAACAGAAGTCAGATTTAAAAAGACTTGCAGTAGAAAAGTATCCATTTTAAACAAACAATCAGAATGATAGCAGAAACAGAGAGGAGAGAAGAAATTAGATACATTCCAACTATCATGCAGGAGACATGGAGGAAGGGAAACCCTTGTCCTATTCTAAGCTAATTTAACTGTTCCTCATTGAGGACTTGAAACTTAGGCATTGTGGGGTTCAATTCGAACACATGGAAGTTAATAACCCTTGCAGCATGCTTTTTCACTGCTGCTGAGGTGAGTATTCTTCATGATCCCCCACTTCCAAGGGGAATGCGAGCCACTTACTTTGCAAGGCCTATCTCGTCTCAGCCTGGTTGAACTACATCTCAGGTATGTTTTTGGACTATTTCTGCATTTTCAGTCTGTGACTGGCTAAATCTGCAGAGCCTTAGCCCATGGATACTGAGGGCCCACTATATATATTGCATAATTTCTTATTATATAGAGAAAGTCTTCAAAGACTGTAGCTCTTAATATTTTTTTTCTTAAAATGACAGTTGTTTTATTTCATATATTTATTCTTAACCATAATTTTTCCCATACGTAAGCTTAGACCATACTAAATAAATATTCTATATTCCTTCAACGAGCAAAGTGTAAGTCCTATATGAAGGAGTGGAAATGTTTTTTGAAAATTAATACTTTCGATGTCTTGGTTTTTGACCTGTTTTTGACCTGTTGTTTTGATGCTTGCAAATTGTAGATACTATATTATTAATTTGGCAAGGGGTCTACTCTTGCCTGAGTTCTTTTTGATTTCAAGAAACTTGCTTGGGACCATTCACATGAATGCAGTCTCAAGTCTTGCCTACGGAAAGAGCGGACCCCTCGTCAAATTAATTGAATTTGTCTGTAATGTATAAGTATTGAAACAGCTGGGATTTATCAGATCTTCTTGTCTGAGATGGTCACTTTGGACATGTATGCGCTCTTGGTGAAGCAAATTGAAAAGAGAAAAAAGGCACATGTCCAGATTGGGTTGGAACAGGATAGAACCAAAGCCCCAGAGGATATCAAGGATTGTTGAAAAGCAACCCACCAAAGTCCTTGCGGTGTAAGTGTCGAATAACGGGGGATACTTGTAATATAATCTTAGATATATTTTATTGGAAGAGAGTTCCACTGTATTGGATATCTTATTTCTAGCTAAATGGGCACAAGGTTTCTAACCTGCAGGGAAATCCTGCACGTCAACTCAGAAGGAAGGCCCACTGAGTTTAAAAACACTTTTCTCAGGTAAGGATTACAGTTTAAATCTGATGAGATAGACTTGAAATTCTATGTTAAATGTTGTAGTAACCTTTATCATTGTTTTCTTTCATCGTTCACCTATTATCTGTTTGTGTGTTTGTGCTGCATTCTAATGGAGGTTTTTTAAATTTGAGGTAATTTTTTTTTAAAAAGCACATATCTCATTAAGTAAATATTTCAGTTCTAAGAGGTACAAGATATTTTAAAATGAAATGGACTTATTTGTTGTTAATTGCTGTCAAATCAAAATTTTCTTCTGGTGATCCTCCCAAGTTATCCTGCTACCAGCAGCCTTGTTGGGATCTTGCAGACTAAGGGTTGTGGCTTCCTTGGTGGAGTCTATACACCTGTAATGGAGTCTTTCTCTTTTCTGTTGCTGTCTACCTTATTAAGCATTATTATATTTTCTAGTGATTCATGCTTTTATTCACATTTTAATTAGGAATTAAACTACTCTAGTGCCTCATGATTTCTAGGTACACAGTTAAAAATAGTTCTATTTTGGAAAAAAAACCCCCTTCTGTTCCTGTTTTTAATATTCAGTTTTCATTCTCTTATTGTACTAATTGGGATAATATTTTGTGAAAACTTCTATGTGATCCTTCTCAGTACCGGAAAGTGGTATAGAGATTGTCTTTATAAATAAATGAGTTCTGCAAACCATCGAATTAAGTATTTAATAATGGCACAAAACTGAACTTTGGAAAAAGCGCATGTTGTCTTCACAAAATGTGTATTTGTAACACAACTGTGGAAACCCTGGCAGATTGACCCTGAGAAGTTGAGTCTCTTGCCCCAAGTAGTTATTGAGAGCAATGGTGGAACAAGTGTCCCTTGACCTGCCATAGGGTGGGGTGCTTGTCCTGGTGATTTTTCAATAAGCATAAGACCCAGTGGAGAAAAAAGAGAGCTATCAGTGGAGATGTGCCTGAAAACCGTTTCTTTTTAAAAGTCTGTGCCCACTACTTGAGTTAATTAGCCATTAAGGTCCCAGCTACTGCGACTAAACTTCTTTGTTTCTTTAAATACCTCTGTGCCTCTGATAAATTAGGTCTTGCTATTAGGGATGGAAGCCTAGATGAATTTTAGGAAAAAGAGAGAGTGGTCATGGTATTCATCCCACTTCTGCTTAGTATTCAAGCAAGTGTATTAGCACTACCATCCCAGTATCTAGTATATTTAAGAAATTGCAGTCTGTGTTAAACCTATGGAAACTTCTTAAAAAGAGGGGAATCACTTTGGGAACCTCTCAAACATGCTTTATAAGACTCATAGAAGACTTCTTTAGTTTTCATTTATAAAACAGAAGCCTCTTGTAGTTAGAATAAAGAAAAACAAGCTTCTTTTTATAACCAATACAGACTCTTCAAAAGACATAGTTCAAATGGTAAGAACTATTGCTTTCCACTGTTAAGTCCTCAGCAAAGAATATGGCAATGGATGTAGATATCATCTAAACTGCTAGTCCCTGTTTCTAGTTAGCCTCTTTGAAAAAACCTTTGGGATAGCAGTCAATGAGATCCACATGACATGAGCCACAGTATGCTTCCCTACCATTTGAGGGTGAATCAGGAACAATACTTATGAGCTGGCCATGTCCATGATATATCTCCAAAGTTGGGAAAATACAAATACAGTCAAAACCACTATTCTGTGCCCCCCCCCCCCCCCGTTCTAACTAATCAAGTGTCATAATCATTAGCCACTGAGATTGTGACAAAGATAACGAAAATATAGCAGAAAAGACTTTCCTGGACCAAACACAGTATCACATGACTTTGCATGCCTTGACTCAAGGAAGGGAGGATAGCAAATGTCATGTGGAAATATTGAGTGAACTGGAGAGGAGACTTTTTTTTCCAATTTGCCCTGGGGAGAGTTGGCTGGCTGGCTACCAGCCAGACTCTTAGATCTGATGGAGAGATTATCTGGATTCCAGTGCAGAGTATCCTGAAAAGATGTTTCATCACTGGGAGATGCTGACAGGTTTCTGACTTGCCATGCCTCCTTTGCAGCTGACAAATAGGATTCTAGGTAAGTCTAGAACCTACACTATTTTCTGGAGAAACCGAAAAAAAGTTTTGTAGTGTCAAAGCTTCTTTTGAGGATGGATGCTTAAAACATAATTATTTATACTTTTTTTCACTTGGTTTTATGCAGAACTTTCTTTTTGTTTCTATTATGGGACACATATTCAGTTGAAGATGTGAACTGATCTTCTATTGTTCTGTGTTTTTTAAAGGCTACCATTAATCAGTTAAGAGCTGAGCTTGCCAAAGGACCTCAAGAAGTTGCTGTATATGTGCAAGAACTTCAGAAACTTCAATTTTCAGTTAACGAATTAACACAGAAAAATCAGGTAAGGAATATAGCACATATATGCATGTGTCAACTTAGAGCAGATGGAGTCTTTTGCACTTAGTTAGCTGTATTTCTGTTTGTGTCCTTGACATTTCAAAACAAAATTAATGAGTATGTACTGTGTGAGATCATGACTTGGCATTTTAGATGGTTTTTAATCTGTTTGATTGACTGACAAGTATTTTAATTGCTTATATGTTTAGATTGTTTTATATTTTGATGAGATGATGAGATATGTTTTATTGTGTATCTGTTCGGCATTAAAATTTTGCTGGATTTGTAAGCTTCCTTGAGTTCCCTCTGCGGTCAAGAAAGGTGGGGTAGAAATGAAGTAAATAATAATAAGCAAAATTGATAGGTAAAATATTGAACAGTTCATTTGTGGCTTGACTATTTCAGTGATTTTCATTTAATTCAGATAACCTAGTAAGCATAATTCCACTATTCATGTTTGAAGGGAGATGCTTTTGATTTCAGAAATTTATTTATTTATTTGCTTTATTTCTATACCGCATTTTTCAGCCTAAATCGGCGACTAAATACTATGAAGCCAAACTTCAGATATTTATCAGGTCTGAGAGTATGGAACAACAAGCATGTAGATGCTGTACTTGCCAATGTGTTTCATTGTGACATATTATTCTGGGTGTGCAGACTGTGTGGATAACAGAACCTGCATTTCCAGTCTTATTGTTCATGTAACACCATGAGACTGGGGTGCACACTTGCTAGGCAATTCAGAAAAGTGATCTGACCCATGCATACCATTTATTGAAAATAACATTATGTGTACCTGTTTTAAGTTGAATTAGTCAACCTAGTTGTGGAGATGGATTGAATTCATCGCATTATGAAAAATACTGTAGTAGTACACCAATCCATGCTATACCAGTTTTAGTTGATACTGCATATTTATGGCATAGTTAAATAGTGACATGCACTATTTTATTAAGAAATCTCTTTACACAGCTCTCATCAGAGCTGGATCTGCAAAATATAATGACACAAATGATAAAATTGTATATTGGCACAGAAGAAAGGCATACAAAAATAAATGGAGATTAGAAACTGTATGTTAGTTTACTTTCTGATAGACCAGCCACATACAGCTATTGATCACCAACATCTGATCCGATCTCTCAGAGTCTGTTGGAAAAATTGAAAAAGAGAGAATTGGATTACTCTCGGTTAGAAGAAAAGCAAACTGAGGAGTCAATAAGTAAAAAGAATCTGCAAGCAACCCTTAATCAAAAGGACTTGGACTGTCAGCAGCTTCAGGCACGGCTATCTGCATCTGAGGACTCATTGCAGAGGTTGCAGAAAGAATTAGGTGAAAGGAGAGAAGCAAGTCAAAAACTTAAGGAAGAATTGTCAGAAGCAGAGACCAAATACCAGCATCTTAAGGCAGAGTTTAAACAGCTACAACAACAAAGGGAGGAAAAAGAACAGCATAGCCTGCAACTTCAAAATGAACTCAATCAGGTAAGATAACAGTTTATCACCTTGAAGGATAATTTGTTCTTTTGCTTGGATTTCTAAACTGAATACATAGTGAAAATAAGCCAAATCGGAGGGAAGAGAAAGGATGGAAAGGTTCTTATAATGGTGGTGAATATGAAGAAAGCATGTTGGGAGGACTTGTTCTGCTATGTAAGAGGTGTTGTTTACAACAACTGTATGCTAAGATATGTATAGGCAAGGGATGGGCAACTTCAGTGAGTGTGTTGCTGGAATCCCACCCACTTCTGCCCTCTGGCCCTTGATCTGCTGCTATATACAGTACTTGTAGGCAAAAAGGTAATCCATTCCTTGTTATAGGATGTCAAAATTATTGGATAGATATTCCGTATTGCTGTTACTTAACTAAATGTGAATTTTATGGTGAAAGTGTCCAAGTCAGTTCACAAAAATAATAAAGTGATGACATGATGAAAAATCCAAATAAACCAACCATAACAAAAAAGCAGACAAATCTTATAGCAAAGATAAGGCTAGTGGAGTGACTAATCTGTCTCCAGCCCAATGTCCATGCATGTGCAGGTAATTGCTCATTCTTTTGGACAATATTGTAATAAATGGAAATAAGCTCTTGAGCGCTCTCTTTCATAAACTGATACTCTCTATGCTGTTTCTCCTGCTACAAATTAAGAAGCCTATTTTTATCCTTTCCAAGAACAACTCCCAAATCATCCCAAGGCCTCTGGATGCACTGGCTTCCAATATTTCAGTAGTGTAGTACAGAGTGGCTGGTAGCTAACAGTATAAAGTACCTGCCTCTCTTTGGTGGACAGTTGAGAGATTCCAAATATTCATATCTGTGATAACCAGAAAAGTTTCTAAAACAGTGTTTTGGAATTAGAATTGGGCACTCCTACTTCAATGAACCTATGTTATCTCCATAGCTGGAACAGTGTTGGCAGTGTTGGCTAAACATTCCTTTAACTTTTGGAAGGGGAAGCCTGTTTTCAGTAGCTCACCAACTGACTGTTCCCAAGCAAATTACAAATTTGTGCTCTAAGTCTTTTAGTGATTCCTTCTTATGTAGTTGCTTTACATTTTCCTAACATGAAGAATCTGCCCTGATTTTCTAACTATGTGCTTGTAGTAGATTTATGCTCACGCTGTGCCTTTTTTTAGTTCTACATGCCTCTTGTGGCCGAATAGAAATCATTGATAACATTGCTCTTTGATGATGTGCCAAAGCAGACAATTCTGCCATTTTACTCGGAATTCTGTTTGTAGAATGGGTACTTAACAACCAAGTATAAAAGTTCTAGTGTGGTATCTAATTGAGGAGTTCGGCTAGAAATTGATTTTATTGTCATACAAGATTTGCAAATTAATAGGATTTGAGGAAAACATTTTCTTTTTGAGCAATCCCGGAGTTATATATTTCACAAAAAGAAAGTTCAGATCACTTGTGGTTTTTTGTAATAATGGAAAAAAAGGATTCATTTTATCCAGACTGCATTTTCATCATTGAAAATCTTAGCATTTATCCATTTAGATTATATAAAATATTACAACAATTGCAACAACATACCTGTCTGAAATCTACTGTACTCAAGTTACACTGGCTGCAAAAGACCAGCTAGGAAAACCTTACAGTACTTTAAGGATCAAAACAGTGTCTCAAAAAGAAAAAGAAAAAAAAAGCAGCCCCTGGTAAAATTCTTTCCAATCGCTGATCCATATGACAGTGATATTGCAGGCCTGGGCAATGGAATGGACAATATTATTTATTTATTTATTTATTTGCTATACTTGTATACCGTTGTTTCTCAGCCTAGCCGGCGACTCAACGCGGTTTACAACAAAATACAGCAATCAACAGTATACAATTTAAAACCATAAAAGCATGATACATAATATTCGCACATCAATAACAATCCAATGCATCTCCTGACTAAAATCGTGATCCAGTTTCGTCGTCCATATTACCAATCCTTTAATCATTACATTCATTGCACCGAATTAACCAAATGCCTGTTCGAACATCCAGGTTTTTAATCTTCTACGGAACACCATCAGCGAGGGGGCTGATCTTACCTCCATGGGAAGGGCGTTCCATAGCCGAGGGGCCACCACAGAAAAGGCCCTGTCTCTCGTCCCCGCCAGCCGCACCTGTGAAGCAGGCGGGATAGAGAGCAGGGCCTCCCCAGAAGATCTTAGGGTCCTGGTGGGCTGATAGGCCGAGATACGTTCGGATAGGTAGGTTGGGCCAGAACCGTTTAGGGCTTTAAAGGCCAACGCCAGCACTTTGAATTGAGCCCGGTAGCAAATCGGCAGCCAGTGGAGCTGGTGCAGCAGAGGAGTTGTATGCTCCCTGCGCTCCGCTCCTGTTAGTATCATGGCCGCCGAACGTTGGACTAATTGGAGCTTCCGGGCCGTCTTCAAAGGCAACCCCACGTAGAGAGCGTTGCAGTAGTCTAAACGGGATGTAACCAGAGCGTGGACTACCGTGGCCAAGTCAGACTTCCCAAGGTACGGGCGAGTTGGCGCACAAGTTTTAACTGTGCGAATGCTCCCCTGGTCACCGCCGAAACCTGGGGTTCCAGGCTCAGCGATGAGTCCAGGATCACACCCAAGCTGCGAACCTGCGTCTTCAGGGGGAGTGCGACCCCATCCAACACAGGCTGTAACCCTATGCCCTGTTCGGCCTTGCGACTGACCAGGAGTATCTCTGTCTTGTCTGGATTCAATTTCAATTTGTTCGCCCTCATCCAGACCGTCACAGCGGCCAAGCACCGGTTCAGAACCTGGACAGCCTCCTTAGTAGCAGGTGGAAAGGAGTGACAGAGTTGGACATCATCCGCGTACAGATAACATCGCACTCCGAAACTCCGGATGATCTCACCCAGCGGCTTCATGTAGATGTTAAACAACATGGGAGACAATATTGAACCCTGAGGAACCCCACAAGACAAAGGTTGTGGGGTTGAACAGGTGTCCCAATAACACCTTCTGAGATCGACCCTCCAGGAATGACCGGAGCCACTGCAAAACAGTACCTCCAAGACCCATCCCTGTGAGGCGTCCCAGAAGGATACCGTGGTCGACGGTATCGAAGGCCGCTGAGAGGTCCAGCAGCACCAACAGGGACACACTCCCCCTGTCGAGCTCCCGACGCAGATCATCCACTAAGGCGACCAAGGCTGTCTCGGTACCATGCCCCGGCCTAAAGCCAGACTGTGCCGGATCCAGATAATCCGTGTCTACCAAGAATGCCTGGAGTTGTGAGGCCACCACACGTTCCAGGACTTTGCCCAAAAAGGGGAGATTGGAAACAGGCCGATAGTTGACGAATTGAGTGGGGTCCAGTGATGGTTTTTTCAACAGCGGTTTTATTACAGCTTGCTTTAAGCTGGCTGGAATTTTGCCTTCCCGAAGGGAGGCATTAACCACCACCTTCACCCACTCGGCCAATCCCCCTCTGGCCTCCTTCAGAAGCCAGGATGGGCAGGGGTCTAGGATGCATGTGGTAGCTCTCATTCCTCCAAGCACCTTGTCCACATCCTCGGATTGAACCAATTGAAATGAATCCATCAAAACCGGACAAGCAGATGCTCGTGTTACATCCTCAGAGACTGCCGTTAATATGGTATCCAGACCAGAGCGGATCAAAGCGACTTTGTCTGCAAAGAACTGAGCAAAAGCTTCACAGCGAGCTGCCGAGTCATCAGGGCACCCATCCTGCATGGTGGGTTTTAACAGGCCTCTGACAACTCGGAACAGTTCTGCCGGACGGTTCTTTGCAGACGCAATAGTGGCCGCAAAGAAAGTCTTCTTTGCGGCTTTTATTGCCGCGGCATATGCCCTTAAAAAGGACACAAACCGTGTTCGATTTGGCTTGCTTGGATCCGAACGCCACACGCTCTCTAGTTCCCTCTTCTTTCGCTTCAACGCTGCCAGCTCCTCGGTGAACCAAGGAGCTGGTTTAGCTCGGCTACTTGAGAGGGGACGTTCTGGAGCGATCGTGTCTATTGCCCTAGTCATCTCCCCATTCCAGAGAGCGACCAGGGCATCAACAGGATCACCAACCGAGGTGGCGGGAAATTCCCCAAGAGCCGTCAGGAATCCATCCGGATCCATAAGCCTCCTGGGGCGGACCAGCTTAATGGGTCCTCCACCTCTGCGGAGGTTAGGGGGTGCAGTGAGTCTAAAGCTGACCAGGTGGTGGTCGGTCCATGGCAACGGAGAGATGGATAACTCCTCAACACCGCCACCTTCCTCCCATCCCTGGCAGAAAACCAAGTCCAATGTGTGTCCAGCACTGTGGGTGGGGCCAGATACCTGTTGGGACAGCCCCATGGTTGCCATGGCAGACATGAAGTCCTGAGCTGCTCCCGATAAGGTGGCCTCGGCATGGACATTGAAGTCCCCCAGCACAAGCAGCCGTTGGGACTCCAATGCCAGGTCCGAGACCACCCCCGCTAGCTCAGGCAGGGAGACTGTAGTGCAGCGAGGTGGGCGGTACACTAACAGAATCCCTAATCTGTCCTGGTCACCCACCCTCAGGTGGACGCATTCAAAATTTGTTGACTGCGGGATGGGGGCCCTGGTCAGAAGAATGGAATCTCTATAGACCACTGCAACCCGCCTCCCCGCCCTCCGGATCTCGGTTGGTGCTGCACAGAGAAGCCTGGTGGGCAAAGCTGGGTTAAATTCACGCCTCCAGCTTCATCCAACCAGGTCTCTGTGATGCACGCCAGATCTGCCCGTTAATCCAGGATTAAATCCTGGATGAAGGCTGTTTTACCATTGACAGATCTGGCGTTCAACAGCACCACCTTCAGTCCGGAGGGACCGCCATCCTGGTTACAGCAACTTACCACATCAGGAGACCGATTTGGAATTACTAATGCTGATCCCCGTTCCCTAGGCCGAATTAAAGGTCTCCCTTTCCCGTATCTCCCCCTCCCCACCACGACTTCTATGGGGGCTCCCCGGCTAACGGAACCCCCTCCCTCCTCCATGACGCAATCCACAACCATAGCTTCAACCCATGCTTCACTGCTGATTGTCTGATTTATTGCAGGTTCAATTCGCCATGGTTTTCCCTTCCATTCATTTCTTAACCTAACTATGTTATTTCCGGGATTCTCTAGTCCACTCCACTCCTTATCTATCCCACAATTAGTTAGCAGAAGAGTTAACAAATACCAATACCAGGGAATAGGTAGCAGCATGGGTGATAGATGTTAAAAAACTGTCAATGAGACACTGTCAATAAACTTTGCACAACGTTCTTAAAGCACAAGCATATAGTTATATCAACCTTACAAGTAGTAGTATCAACCTTACAATACTTCTAACTGTGAAGAGTATCTACCAGTATTTACCTTATTTATACATAATATAACTTCATCCCACTGGGGGCTCTAAGAGTTCTAGACTAGTATACGTACTGAAGCACTGGTGTAATTTCCTTGATAACTGTTTGATCTCATAGGACAGCAGTCTGCTTTTTTTATTGTCATGCACCATTTTGCTGAAAATTGAAATAGGATTAGGGTCGATGTTCTGAAAGATTCCTTTCCTTGATTTAGGAGTAGATTGTGTATTGCTTTATGATGGAAGATACCTGATCATTGACATACATGCTTTCCCAACGGTTTCTGAAGATTTGTAGGGAGAATGTGTGGTCCATTGGCTTGTCTGCTAGCCTGGGACTTGAGAGAGATTTGTTTGTTTTTCTGACTGAGATATTTCCTGTAGAATCATTCTGAAAAATTTTCTTACACGGGTAATGGAGATGAAAACTGTGTTAAGATAAATTTTTATTGTGGTAATATGAACTGTTTGAATTGTTATATGTGTTTGTTCAGTTTGTATGGTCATATATGTGCCTGTAAATTAACATAGCAATTGGAATACAGTACACGCAATCTAAACAATTGCTGTTTATATATTTAGAGTATTAGAAATGAACAAAGTCCAAAAACAAATTGGTATATAGAGGCTTAAATGTTGGACTACAGCTCCAGGAGGTCAGTGTTTGATTGTTTGCTCAGTCATGGAAACCCAGTGGATGACCTTGGGCAAGTCATAATCTTTCAGTTCCAGAGGAAGGCTAAAACAACACCTTCTTAAACAAATTTTATTAAGAAAACTCCATGATAAATTCATTTTAGAGTTGCCATAAATCAGACACAACTTGAAGTCACACAACAAAGTAAAATATTAGAGTAAGTCCATCATTTTAGTTAAGATCCAATAGGACTGGGATACTTCGGCAAAGGATGCACGAGTTGAGTTCTCCCAACAGCTGAGCTTTGTCAAACCTGAGAGCAGTAGTTTTCGGATGGGGTTGAGTGTGTCACTTCAAACCAATTGTTATGAATTATTCACACCTAACCAGATGTGTTGATATGATTTGTGAAAAAGTTACCATAAATTGACAAGCGATTTGAAGGCACACAAGCATAGAACATTAAGAATATAATGTGATACCTCTGTCTGGGAAAAAATTGAGACCAACCTTTCCTCTCAGTTACATAATAAACTTCTGGAGACAGAACATCAACTTGGAGAAGCCCATGGACGGCTAAAAGAGCAGAGACAGCTGTCTAGTGAAAAGCTTATGGACAAGGAACAGCAGGTTGCTGATCTTCAAATAAAGCTTTCACGTTCTGAGGAGGAGGTAGGAATGCTATGCAAGATCCAATTCTTGATTGCTGTTTGTGTGTTTATTAATTTGTTTCTTTAATTGGTAACTTGCCTCAAATTATCTAGAGAAGACCACGAGGGCATGTTCAACAAAGCATTTGATAAGGTCCCGCATAATATTTTGAATCCATAATTTGTTGGAAAACTTAGGCTTAAGTTACCATCAATGGCTGCACTTCAAACTAGAAGGAAGTCTCAAGTGGATTATCCCTGGATTCTGTCTCAGGATCATTACACTTCAACAAATTTGTCAATAATTTAGATGACATAGTGCAGGGACCCCTTACCAAGTTTGCAGATGATACAAAAACTGTAAGGATGGGCCAACATACTAGAAGATAAGAAGAGAATTCAAAAGGACCTACATAAACAAGAGAATTGGCCAGAAATTTGTGAATTGAAATTCAGTAGAGAATACATTTAGCTACAGAAACCAAATTCCCCTCTATAGGATGGAGGATACATGACAGTACTACGTGCAAAAAGGATCTTGATATTACTGTTAATCACACATTGAACATAAATCTGCAGTTATGCTCCAGGAGTGAAGGTGAATGCTATTTTCGTCTGCATTAATGAGAGTATACTTTCCAAATCAAGGGAAGTAATAGTCCCACTATATTCTGCTCTGGTCAGGCCTCATCTGAAGTACTGGGCACCTTATTTTAAGAAAGATATTGACAAGTTAGAGAAGATTTAGAGAGGATAAGAATGATAAGAGATGTGGAGACTAAAACATGAGGCAAGGCTGAAGGTTGTGGGCATATTTATTGTGGCGAACAGAAGTCTGGGGAGTGATGTGACCATAGTCTTGAACTACATCAAAGATTGTTATAGAGAAAAGGGTCTAAGCCTGTTCTCTACTTGCACAGATGGTAGGACCAGGTCTAATATTTGGAAGTTACAGATTTCAGTTGAACTTTAGAGGAAACTTCTTAACAGTAACAATTGCCTAGAGAAGTAGTGAGGACTCTTCTGGAAAGAAGAAATCAAGAAGACTATGCCAAAAAGAATCTGAACAGTTGCCTCCTGGGGATCCTTTAGCTTGAACAGGGGGTGGACTTGACGACTTGTGAGACCCCTTCCAACTCTTACTCTGTGTAATTTGGAGGAAATACAAATGCATAAACATGACAAGTCAAACTGTTTCTTTCTGGGGACCTTGTGAAGTTACTATTGTGAGATTTGTAAATGGGCCACGGCTGATCTTTCTTTTGAACTGAAATCAGTGGTCCGGCTTTGAAGCTAACAACATTCAATGAACTGCCAGCAATCACTTTATTTTCCTCTAGTGCTATTTGGACTCTCTTAAATTTTTCAGTTGTACCTGCAATGGGGAAAATAGACAGAATGGTTAGCGTTAGCTACAGAACTCTGTCACTAAAATCTATTTATTGTTTTCTGTTTCTTCCCCCTTTCCATTCTGATGATATACAAAGTAGGTAAGATGATATCTCGCAAAAGGTCTATGGATCACCTATGCTAAGAGTTTTTTCTTCTGAGTATTTTTCTGTGGTTAAGCAAAGATCTTGGCTTTTCTCAAAGTTCAAAGTGTGCAATAACAGCTATGGAAATCATTGTTAGTTTTACCTAAAACTGAGCATTTTAAAAAATCTAATTATTTTCAAATCAATATCAGTGGGCCCTAATATATTTGTTTTACTTGCAAGTTTCCAGATGTTAAAGTCAATGATTAGTTATATAATGTTATTACTGAAAGATATTTGTTTGGTGTTGAAAGGTTCTTTGTTGCTAGAATACCATTTTTGCTTTGTTTTTACAAACATAATATACATATGACATCTAAAATAATGTAAAAGGTATCTATTGTAAAAATGCTTCAGTGTTAGATTAAATTATAAAATGCTATTAAACTACTGAATTGTGCTTATCAGTTTTCAGTCAACAGTCTGTGACTATTTTTCTAAGCTAAAGGAGAAAGCAGCAATTGCAACTGAACTGCAGCATCAGTTAGATAAAATGAAACAGCAGCACCAGGAGCAACAGAACCTTCAGCAAAGCACAACAGCAAAGCTGCGAGAAGCCCAGGTGAGAGAGAACTCGTGAAACTTCAGAAAAAACAATGTTAATTTATGCAACCAGTATTATGATAGGTCTAGGGAGATCAGGACCTGAGGCCCTTCCAGACAGGCCCTATATCCCAGAATTTGATCCCAGATTTTCTGTTTATCCCAGATTATCTGCCAGTGCGGACTCATATAATCCAGGTTAAAGCAGAAAACCTGGGATCAGATCCTGGGATATAGGGCCTGTTTGGAAGGGCGCTTCGATAACATTGCTCATGCTTTGGTGAGTTGTAGAATGGATTACATGATGCTCTTAATGTGGTTACCATTAAGCACCTTGGACACTTAACCTAGTTCAGAATTTTCCTACTTATTTGCTGAAAGTGTAAGGCACATTAAATGCTTTTTTGAAGCTGTTAAGACTGACTAACCAATTTCTTTTTTGTTTTGTACTGCATTTTTCTCAGTTCAATGTTGTTTTATCTATTAGTTGGTTAGAAAAACCTCTTAGGTAAATAGCTATTGGTGCTATAGACCTCTTTTTAATTAAAAGAGCTTTTGAGTTGTTTCAATTAATTCTTAATGTTAACTCCGTCACAGGAATTTCTAAATACAGTAAATTAATACATGTATTTGAAAATATCCTAAGTAATTTAATCTATTGTATTTCCCCTTTCAGAATGATTTGGAGCAAGTGCTACGTCAGATTGGAGATAAGGATCAAAAAATTCAAAACCTTGAAGCCCTGTTACAAAAGAGTAAAGAGAATATCTCCCTGCTAGAAAAAGAGAGGGAGGATTTGTATGCCAAAATCCAAGCTGGTGAAGGAGAAACAGCAGTTCTTAATCAGCTACAGGAAAAGAACCACACATTGCAAGAACAGGTAAGAAATTTTTAGTAGCAGAATTGCAGGATCCGTATAGAAAAAAGATGTACAGTTTTGAAAGGGGCTACATTAGCCCCCCCCCCCCAATAGGACTTTTGAGAGCTGTACTCCCTGCCCGTCCCCGGTCACTCCCAATATTTTTGACATAACTGCTAATTGAAAAGATCCTATATGAATCAAAGAGGGTGTAGTCATCCACTTTTTGATTGCCTGGTAGATCCAGAATAATACTTTTTTCCAAACTCTAGTTTAATTCCTGATTGAACAAAGGCTTTTCTTTTTTTCCTTTTTTATATAATTTTATTGCAAATATATGGAGAACAGGTAAGGGGTACAAGGGTGGGTATAGAACAGGGGCAGTTTAACATCTTACATCTTTACCTTCCATTATTATTGGATAAAAAAAAGATTTCTATGATGTTAAAAAAGAAAAGAGAAAAGATAGCATTTCTTTTCTAATGTAAAAACAGAAGGATAGAAAAGCAGGTGTACAGTGTTTTGAAACAAAGAATATAGAAACATTGAGAAATGGAAAATGGAAAGCCCTAACTAACTCTTCCCATCATGTCTCTGCTGTTTTCCTCCTAATCAAAAAATCTGTTCTTTTTGACATTAAATTTTTTTATCCCTGATAGATGAACCTTCCAGAATCCCTTGGATATCACCTTGCATATGGTAGAAAGGCAGGATAGCAATCAATAAATCAGTCAAATAAATGCATCCCAGAATATCCTCTCATGGCAGCAACACAGCCATGAAGACACAGGTCCGCAGACTGAGGGTCCTCCTGCATTCAGCACTGACACTTGATGCTCAGGTGTTGGCAGTGACTGGGAGGGCCTTAGCACAGTTAAAACTCGTGTGCCAGCTGCAACCTTACCTCGAGAAGTCTGACTTGACCATGGTGGTCCATACCTTAGTTACCTCAAATTGGATTACTGTAATGCACTCTACGTTGGGCTGCCCCTGAAGCCGGCTCGTAAACTGCAGTTGGTGCAAAGGTTGGTGGTCAGGTTGTTAACTGGAGCAAATTACAGGGAGTGGTCAACCCCCCTGTTTAAGCAGCTCCACTGACTGCCGCTAAGTTTCTGGTCCCAATTCAAGGTACAGGTCATCACCTATAAAGCTTTAAATGGTTCGGGACCTGCCTATTGTTGAGACCGCATCTTCCCTTACGATCCCACATGATCCCTAAGATCTTCTAAGGAGGCCCTTCTCTCACTTCCACCTCCGTTACAGGTGCAGTTGGTGGAGATGAGAGAGAGGGCCTTCTTGGTTGCCCCCTCCTCCCGGCTCTGGAATTCCTTCCCCAGGGAGATCAGACTAGCACCCTTCCTAGCCACTTTTTGCAAAGAGATAAAGACCCAGATGTTCCGCTGTGTGTTTGAAACAATTCCCTTGACAACTAGCCCCAGCTAGGACCCAAAAATCTTATTTTAAACTGATGTTATGCATTCTAATGTGCTATGCTTTTAATACTGTTATTGGACTTGGCCCCATGTAAGCCACCCTGAGTCCCTTTGGGGAGATGGAGATGGGGTATAAAAATAAAGTCATTATTATTATTATTATTATTATTATTATTATTATGAAGTGTTCAGGCTTAGCAGTCATTACACTAGGATGGCATAGCTTAGCAGAGAAGAAGAAAGAAAAAACCTGGGGCACGTCATCATCAGAAGTTTTAAATGAGCTCTGGAACGAATGTAGTGCAACAGTTCTTGTATTGTTTTCACCTGTAGACATAATAATAGCCATTCTGATATTTGAATATATCTAAGTGGAACTAAGTTGGAGTGTTTTGCTAGTGGATGTGTCCTATAAATGCTGAGTATATGTCTTGTGGATAGTCAAGCAGCTTGATAATCCTACTATTATTATTCAGCAGGATATCAGAATAACACCAGTAGAAATGAAACCTAACCTAGCAGCACTTGCAATCATTCCCATTGTGTCCATAGCATCATTGCTGCCTGATACTGCGTGCTTTATGGACAGAGTTAGATATACATGGAAACTACAAATCAAAACTTGGTGAAGGCTGCACATTCTTGTGGTATCACATTGTCTTTCCCCAATGCCTTTTCTTGTCCATAGCCCAAAATTAGGCCATCAGGAATAGCTTTAAACAAAGTGATTTCCTTCCATACATGTGTAGGAAAGCAACAATTGATACAGTGACAGTAAACTAAAAATGACTTCAGAGGGAAGTTTTAACCTTTCAGCAACCCAAAGGTATACAGCAGAACTCTGTGCATCACAGTCTCTTTGCCAGTAAAGTCCCAGCACCATATAAAAAAGGGAATAAGGAATGAATTAGTCCTATTGCAGTGATTTAAGCCTGATCGTTATGTTTTCTTGATATTAAACTGGGATCTAATTGACAACCCTAAAACAGCAGGTGTCGCAAAATGTGGTTTTGAGCCCATGTTGATTACTGGTATCCTTTCTATGAATTTCCTGCAAAGTTGAAGAAGAAGAAGGAGGAGGAGGAGGAGGAGGAGGAGGAGAAGAAGAAGAAGAAGAAGAACTTTATTTTTCTACCCCTGAAGGGACTCGGGGCAGCTTACATGGGGCCCAAGCCCAGGCAGAATACGGTTAAAATAAAGCAATAACAATTAAAACAACATAAAACAGCATAAAACAACATAATAAAAATAGCTAGCAACAACAATAACAGCCGACTAATTTTGGAGGGGGGAGGAAAACCACTTGAGAGTTGAAAGTTTGGCATGAAGCATAATCTGTTTTGGTGTTTGTTTATAGAGAATCCAATTTTACAGGGTGATTAGCAAGGAAAAAGCAACATAAGAGTAAATCGCTTTGTAGATCAGTGGTAATGAAAAATCCAATGGGAAGCAAAAGTTGTAGGTGTAATATCTGCCTGGGAGATATTGAAGTGACTTCTATGAGGGAAAGATGGCCTTTTGGCAATTTTGGTAGCACCTATAATATTGGAGGTGAAAAGGCAGTGAAGTTTGCAAGCAAATAGTAGAAATCTGGGGATGTTTGCCATGTTTTGTATATTGTAAAAAAGTATAGAAAATTTCTCCTTCGGTTATTGCTTTTCTTTTCAGTGATAGGATTTTTTTTTTCTACTAAGAAAGAAGGAACTGATATGCTTTTCTGAATTAACTATCCCCCTTTTCTCTTTAAATGTTATATATTACCCAAGTATACGTACAGTATATTGTAGAAGTTACAGAATTTTTCTAAAGGAGAAATTCATAGCCAATTAATCCGTCATATTAGAAATATTTTTCCTCTTCTAATGCATCTTTTCTTTTGTTTGTAGGTTACTCAGCTGACAGAAAAACTGAAAAATCAGTCAGAAAGCCATAAACAGGCTCTAGAGAATTTGCATGAGCAAGTGCAGGAGCAAAAGGCACATCTAAGATCCTCTCAAGACCGTGTTGTCTCCTTAGAAGCAACTATAACTGAGCTAAACAGTCAGTTAAGTGAAAGTAAAGAAAAAGTAATTCAACTTGATTTGCAGGTATTGCCATATTGTACTTAAAATATAAATGAGGGTGGGGGCAAAGGTATAACTTAAACTTCAGTAAACTCAATAGTCTGTCTTGATTTTCTGCAAAAAATGACCATGAAAAGTAGAGGTTTTTTTTTGTGCTTATCATGATCAACTATGTTTTACTCTGACAGCAATGATCAGTGTACATTTGTGCACTGCTCACTTAAGTTTAGGTGTGTCTGTGAGGAGAAGATTGAAGATACTGGCTATTGGTTGATGGTAGCTTGTCATTTAGTCTCATTCTAGACAAAGTATTCTTAACTGGTTTCTTAAAAACAAGCCCACTTCCAATCCTGTGTTATAAACCTGGCTTGTTTGGCAAACCCCCAGCTTGATTAAATTCAGTTTTGATGTCAGAAATAATAATAATGCACATGGCTATATTTATTTATTTATTTATTATTATTTATTATTTGCATTTGTTAACCGCCACTCTCAGCCCGAAGGCGACTCGTGGCGGTGTACACAACATAGAACATAAAGACAACAATTACAATAGATTAGGGCTAAACATACATCCTACTAACACACAGCTAATAAAGCTAAAAATCCGCTTCGTCTCGTTTGAATCATAATCAATCTCGTAGTCATAGTCCATTCCGGTGGTCATTCCAAGAAAACAAAGCACTATACACCCGAGTAATAATACAGTATACCCAAACTGTCGGCAGTAAAACAAAGGTAATGATATTATTAAAGTTCATAAATTACCTTAATCATAAAATATATTTACACTGAACATTAGGCTATTTAGAGAAAGTATTTTAAATAATAAGTTAAATGGAGCAAAATCCATTAAGAATATTGGAACAGCTGGCAGAATCAAAGTGGGAAAAGGCTTTGCCTAAAGTTTTGTGTGTGGTTAGGATAGGAGCTCCCATAGCTTGGTTAGGCTCTTGGGCTGCATGCCCCTTTTCCTTTCAAAACTTGGGACTATCGTCAACTTGCCCCCCTAGTGGTTCCCAACCTGTGGTCCGTGGACCACCAGTGGTCTCCAAGAATGAAAAAATGATCGCCATTATTACATCATTGCAACAAGAGCGACTGGTCTGGGGAGTCCCTCTTATAATGCCAAGGCAATGGGGAGGTTGGGAGGGGAGAAGCTGCTACCCACAAAAGGCACAGCAACAAGCCTCCTAACTGCTGCTTCTCCGTCTCCTCCCTCCCTCTGAGCACCTGGAAGTGGGAGCACCTTGGCGTCTTCGTTTTTAGGTCTGTTCCTGGGATTATTTGGGATGCTGATTCAGAAAATTGCATTGGATAGACCACATCAGCTCTAGATTATTAAATATGGTTTTCTGTGGGCAAGCAGATGGCAACTAATTGATGGTGTATGTTCTATATCAGAAACTAGAGCAGATGTGATCTATCCAATGCAATTTTCTGAATCAGCACCCCAAGTAACCAAACGAAATCTAAAGTCAACCAAAAACTGATTTGTAACCCTTTTGGTGCTAATGTTGGAGAGTAGTCCCTGGTAAAAAAAAAAGTTGGGAATCACTTCCCTAAAGTCTTGTAAATACCTCTTTAAGCAAATTGATTTTGCTCTATTCAAAGTGAGTTTTGACTTGAAGAAAAACAAAAAATAAAATATAACAATAGAATGAGGTTGTATGTAATACATTGTTACTGACATTGAAAGTCAGTTCAGAGTGCTTGGAGAGAAAAAAACCATTTTCTGAGAGTTGTTGAAAAATAGTAATAATTGTTGGGCCACTGAACTTAAGCCAAATTGTATATTTTTCTTAAATTGATGTATAGTTACTCGGGTGGATTTTTGTTCAGTCACATCTTTTATATATCGATTGATTTTTTTTGTATCAGATATCAACTGACCTGTTTATCCTAAAAGTATCAATAATTGTGTAGTATTTGTAATACATTTTGAAGTACTTGTTTTGATTCTTTTTCAGGTAAAAGCAAAAACTGAGTTGCTTCTATCAGCGGAAGCTGCAAAAGCTGCTCAAAGAGCAGATCTCCAGAATCATTTGGACACTGCTCAGAATGCATTACAAGATAAACAGCAGGTGAGAGAAACAGTAAGAGATTGCTATTTAAAATGAGATCACTCATACTAATCTTGCTTCCTATTGACTGTAGTGTGTAACTCCATCATGATTTTGTATTTGTTTTGAATTGCTAGTAACAAATAAGCTAAAGAATGTTGTATAAATGTAGAATTTATGTAGAAAATTGTGAATTAATTAAGCTGCAGGACTATTGCCTAGATTTTAATGTATTCATACAGGATCCTGGAAAACTGCAATCCTTTGAAGGATGCAGTATTCAAATAAATAAATAAACCAACTCATTGGATCCTGTTTCATATCATTCAGTTTAAAAATATTTCTGTTAAATCTTAGTAACCATTTTCTTTTTCAACCATTTCTTATCTTATAGTGACACTATATCTTATAGTATCACTTATTATATTTATGATCTTCATGAGGGACTAGCGTGTACTTTTTTCAATTAGGATAAGTATGTTTTCACTTGAATATAGTGCAACAAATATGTTCTCTGCTAAAATTACCCTTTTCGATGTTTATTAATAGGAACTAAATAAGGTCAATACACAGTTGGATCAGGTTACTTCTAAACTCCAAGACAAACAGGAATACTGCACCCAGTTGGAAACTAATCTTAAAGAGTACAAAGAAAAACATCTTCATTTAGAACAAAAAACAGAAGAATTGGAAGGTCAACGCAAGGTTTGTATTGAGAAGCCTCCTTAGCCAGTTTGTTCATTTGTGTAAATCTAATAGGTATATTAACACTGTCAACATGAGGATCATAATAATGAGGATAATGTTGGGGTAGCTGGGATGTTTTCTAATTTGAAAAACTTATTCTCCAGCTTGCGTAATTGTCTTTGAATGTGTAAGCAAAAAGAAGAAATGGGGGGAGGGGGATCCAAATTGTAAAGATTAGGGGAAGTGCTTTTCTAGAATTGCAAGAAAAATTACAAACATGAAACAAATTATACTACAAAACAGATATTTCAGTGTTTCTTTTACTGAATATTCACACTGAGTTGGGAGAAAAGCGTACAGGTATTAGGTTTGCTCTTTATCTCATTGTATAAATACAGGTGGTTGGAGGAAATTGCAGCTGTAAGTACTTATAATGTCTTAAAATTGATGCTCTATGAGTCTGTGAGCAGCACTGTGTAAATTATGTCTTCTGGTTTTACAAATGTTTGTACTTGTATAGTAAAGAAATAATAAGTCAAGAGTTAGTATGAATGCTATATTCTCGGGATGGCATGGAGAATTAACACACACCTTAATGGGTTATTCTCTGTGTAACAGATGACAAGGTAGGAATCTAAATTCATTACAGTTAGTTCTATTGACTCTTTCCCCTTCCATAATACTCATTTCTTGCCTTGTTTAACTAGACAGATTCACTTTATTATGCTTTGGTTTTAAAAAATTGCATTTAAGTGAAGATTTTAAAGCAGTGGTTTTAAAAAGATTCATTTATACCACTTGAGTAGTTTGTGTATCTTACCTTAAATATGGAATTGTGAGCAATATGCATACAAATGACTGTTTAGAAACCAATGAACAAAAGGAAGTAAATATTTTTTCAAAATAAAATTTTGAGTTGCAATGTTATTGCTTATTGGGTATATTGATGTCCAAACATCACATACCAGAGAAGTTCTCCTGCTGGGAAGATTGTTTTAATGAGTAAGACTGAGATGTTCTCCAGAGTTGCAACTCAATGTGAGCTGGAAATACTGTTAAAAAGATAAATATTTGTATTTTATCTGGAAAACAGTCTACTGAGAGCAGTAAACAATAACCTTTAAAACAACAACCTCAAAAAAGAATAATCTCAGAATCTTCACTATCTTTACTACATGGGTGTGAAGAAAAATAAATTTGTTGTGATGTTTGGTATTGGTAAAATAAAAACTTACCAATGACTAAAAAACACTAAATACATTAAACGTCACACATAGCATTTTTCCTATAGTTAACTAGGCATGGCAGCCAGATTTCATGATGGAGGAAAGTAGGCTTGAAATATCACTGATATGTTGTATTTTCTTTGCCAGAATACAGAAACAAGACCCTTAATTGGGATATCTATTTCTGTAGGCAAGTAGCTAGAGTCAATCTTTGATCTCACCTTGGTGAGGATTTCCTTACCAACCAAAATCCTGTCTTTTGGAGAAAATGATGTTGTCTCTTCCTGTGGTGACTTGAACGACACAAGTATCATCAGTGTTGGTATCTAAACCTCTATCTGAGGGTTGGTATCTAAACCTCTATCTGTATGTCTTTTAGTTATTAGAACCTAGTAACATACATGACATGTTTGGTTAAAACTAACATGCAACTTGTATGAATTTTCTAGCTTGTGTGTTCTAGCAAGAAGCCAATGTCAATTCAGGCTAAAAATGCTTCTTTGGGAATAGGAATGGTTCATGCTTCTTTAAAACAAGCTATAACATTTTGTGCAGGCTCAAAATCTTTAATTGATTTATTTTTTATTTCTTCCTCACTTCTTCCCCAATAGTGGGACCCAATGTGGCTTACAATGTATGAAAACAGTATAGATTAAAAATTTCAACAACATCAATTAAAATATAAATATACACGTTATTTTAAAACTTTTAAACAGGCTGTACAGGTAAATCATTTAAAACATTAAAGTACCATAAAACCAATAAAACAATACAGCATACAATTAAAAGAGTTACAGTATCTTTAAAAGCCTGGTGAAATAGGAATGTTTTTCCTTGCTGGCAGAGAGTGTACAAGGAAGGACCCATCATAACCATTGAGAAGTAACAGTAATCTTGTTTGCTGTGTACTAATCTTGCTGTGTATCAAATAACTTTTCAGGCCTGCCTGAAGATCCATGTGTTCAGCTCCTTGCTAAAACATTGTAACATGGGGGCAGGCCTAATATCCTTGGGGAGGCCACCACCAAGAAGGCCCTCTCTCTCGTCCCAACTAGCTGCACTTCAGACAGAGGCGGGACTGAGAAGAGAATCTCCTTGGCAGATTTTGGAGCCCGTGCCGGTTGATAGAGGGAGATGCAGTCACAAAGATAGGTTGGACCTGAACTGTATAGGCTGTGTAGGTAATAACCTGCACTTTGAATTGAGACCAGAAACTTGTCGACAGCCAAACTAAATGAAGTTTGGGTTCCTGCAAAGCTGGAGGGTCACAGGAACCACCCCATGGAGTACTTTGCACATACCTCGTATAAAGATAAACCTTCAGATAGTCCAGACTAATCTGCATTGGGCTTTTAAGATTTTGTATACGTTTAAACAAATTGTGTGGAGCTGTTAATTTTAAATCTTTAAACTGATAGGGGTCAGCATACTTGAAAGACTGCTCTTTCTCATGTCTATGTTCCCAAATCCTCATTTTCAGAAGCTTTGTTCTGATGCAAATGAAATGGTACTAGTACCCAGTTTTGTTTTTTTTTTACAACTGATGCATTTTTCAGAACTGCTGCTATTTCCCCCCATTATTTCCCATTTATCTGTATACTGTATATCTTATGCTCAGTTGTCATGTGGTTAGTTATGTTATCAGCAGTAGCTGCTGCATTTCCCATCCCTGGCTTATATGTGAGTCAATAAGGTTTCCCAGTTTTTTGAGGTAAAGTTAGGTGCTTTAGCTTATATTTGGGTCAGCTTATACTTGAGTATATACGGTAATTTGTCCTTTCAGGAAGCCAGAAAAGGAGTCTGGATTAATTGAGGACTACACAAACAGCCTTAGCTCCCTACCCCCAAGTCTGCACTTCTCACACCTCTGCTTTTAGCAGAGCTTTATCAGCATAGAAATGAGCATCTGGTTGGGAGCCTTTCTCTAGCAATTCATGACGAGAATTGGGATTAAAGTGAAAGCTATTTTGCCATGATAGCTGAGAGCAGACTGGTTTTCGAGCCCTTGATAAGAACAGTCATGTGCGTAGATATATTAAGAACGCTTTGATATAGCAGTGGGGACTTTCATAAACATGGCGTGAAGCTATGAGATGATAGTTTGTTGAAAGTTAACCTTTCCTCCAACATGGCTCAGCACATGGCAGTGATCTCAAGCATGAGGGAAGTCTTCTGAATGTGAAAGTCACACTGCTAGGATTCTGGCAGGTTGCAAAAAGCTTCTGGTACCTGCTTGTGGGTTTCTTGGCAAGTTGCACATTGTACTCCTATTATTTGCTATTGCCTCAGAAGATCTCCCCCTGCTTTATAATTTTGTACAAACAAGATATCCTGTAGAAGACTGCAGGGTAACACCTGGCCCATGTCTTCAGGTTCATCAAGCATCCTATAGTGATTCATCTGTACTTGGCAAATATTTCGTTACATGGTGAATTCTCTATAAGGAACTAATGTTTCATATGCACCTTTTACACATAGCTGAAAGGTAGTTTTACACACAATATTTTTAAATAATTTTACATATGAAACAATACATTTATGTATGTGTTTACTGAACTATCAAATAAGAAAGGTGTCACTGTATCAGTTCCTCACATGGACAATTTTGTATTTGGAGTATAAAGGATAAAGGATACAGCCTATACATATGGCATTGTCAGCCCACCTAAAAGAATTGAGTGTTTATAATCAGGTTTGAAAAGCTATCCCCTTTATTTGAATTTGTTAACATTTTAAAAACTTTCTGTTACAGAAGCTTGAAGCTGACATCCTGGAAATTACAGGAAGCAAAGCAAAGGCACTTCAGGAGCTGCAGCAGCAAAGACAACAATGTACAGAATTAAATCTCAAAGCTGCAGAATTGACCAAACTACTAGATTCGGAAAGAGAAATGTATGCTTAATTGCGTAAATGTACTGCTTTTCATTTCTGTGTTCACTTGTAAATAAGCACTGCCCCCCAAGATAGAATGAAATATGTTAAGATATTCATTCATTTTTAAATTTTTAAATATATAATTTGTACTTTAACTTGTAGAATATAGTTTGTGGATCATAACTACATCATGTAGCTATTGTGGCAAAATTACCATTAATTATTCTTATGTCAAGATGGATGGATAGTATCCTTGAAGTGACTGGCTTGACCTTGAAGGAGCTGGGGGTGGTGACAGTTGACAGGGAGCTATGGCGTGGGCTGGTCCATGAGGTCATGACGAGTTGGAAGCGACTGAACGAATGAACAACAGCATTCTTATGTCACTTTGAATACCTGAAATATGCTGTATGTGAATTCTTTCTACTATTAAATATTAATATTATTGTATATCTTTGTATTTGTGTCTATACAGAATATCTAGTATCAAATTAGACCTTCAAAAGAAATGTGATGCACTGGGAGAATCAAACCAGCAGATACTGAAGCAAGAAGAAGAAAATGCAAGGCTGAAATTAGATATTGAAAAAGTACATCAAGATGCAGACAAACATAATAAAGAATTAGATAGAAAATTGCAAGCAATGACAGAAGACTTAAAGAAATTAGAATTAGAAAAAGAGACTCTATTAAAGGAACTTGAAGCTATCAAAAATAAATTGTCAAAGAACACTGAATCTTTGAAAGAAGCAAAAGATGAATTAGAGAAAGAGAAACAGAAAGGAAAGACAGCAGTGGCAGAAATAGTGAGTCATATTTTAAGCCCTACAGATTTCTGTGTAATTGAGTTGTACATATGTATATACATCATAGTTGTTGTTGGTATTTGCTGTGAAAATTTAGGGCAGTATGCTAGTTATGACGGGATTGACCATGGTAAAATAATTCTGCCATAAGAATATTAAATTGAACATTCCACTAATTTTATATATATATTCAATATACGTTGTTATTTTCAGATACTGTTTGTTGGCTTGGATTATTCATTTTTAAACAGCATTGGAAAAAAAAAGATTGGTAACCAAGATTGGTAATTTTCACAGTGTACTTCATGTACATTGTGATAAAAATAAGTGCAGAAACACTTATGTATATATTTGTGGAGAGTTTTCTGGAGAAAGACATTATTAAAAGATGTATAAGAAGATTGCATTTTGTAAAAAAAAGATCTATAAAAGACATCTGAACTGCTCAAAAGCCCTAAGGATTGCTTGTGTTGAATGTGAACAGATATATGATCTAATGAGTATTGACACTTTTGAGAAGAAACGTTGATGGTTTGATGGATATGAGCCAAACAAACATTTATTGGTCAGCTTTTGCATTGATGATTGGACATATGAATTTGAGGGTAAAGATGAAAATCCAGAATAAATTGAGCAGATATGACAAAATATGAAAGCAGACCTATTCACGCAGTCATAAGAGCCCTGCTAGACTAACTGTCTCGGTATTTTATCTGCTCAACTCATTGTGTAGTATTGCGACTGAGTTTGAGATTAGACATTTGAAATTGTTGCCATGGCCAAATCAGTTCCTGGTTACATTTTGATTGGCAGGAGAATTTCTCCTCTGCCAAGTTGGCTGACACATTGAGGTGGTTTTCCTTCAGAGACTTGTCAAATCCTGAATGTGGAATCCCAGGGATTCTTGAATGCCATGGGGGTTTTCCAGTTGAAATGGGCAAGTGCTTTTATAATGATTAGAGCTTTGACATCGTTATATGGAACGAGATGGGGAGGTATGTTAACACAATTGCTGCTAGGTATCATAATCTAGAAATGAGTTGGCAAAAATCTCGTATTGACAATAGTTGAACATTAGAGTTTAGTACAATCTATTTTGTGTTGTTTGTCGAACTGTGAAGCCCATCCTTCAAGTACCTGTGCAACAGTTATGATTTTTTTTGGTGTGGATAGGAATAGCTTCATAGTGGTGAACAAGTATCTGGTAACTGTTGGTTGGATGACTGTAATTGAAGGTTGAATATCCCTTATCCAAAGGACCAGAGGCATTTTGGATTTCAGTTTTTTCTTGATTTGCATATAGAATACAATAATGAGATATCTTTGAAATGGGATCCAAATCTAAACACAAAATTCATTTAAGTTTCATATATACTTTATACACATGTCCTAAAGGTGATATTAATGCACAATATTTTTAATAACTTTGTTTATGAAACAAAGCTTATGTACATTGAACCATCAGAAAGCAAAGATGTCACTATGTCAGCTACCCATGTGGACAATATGGGTTTTGGAACATGCCCGCTTTCCAGATAAGGGATAGTCAACTTGTATTGGATTTCCTGTAATGCATTGCATCACAGTGACACAAAATTAGATCCTCAGTTGTAAAGGGAAAAACAGCCCAAATAAACGCAAAAATGTGAATTCCAAGTAGAGCACAACAATATAGCCTTCTCTTGGTTCCCAGAAGCTGGTATGAAGAGGTCTGAAGTGAAAGCTACTGTACCAATGATTGCTGCTGTACAACCATGATGACTTGTAGTACTTGATAGCCTTGTCTTCCTTGAATGTGTCTAAACTCCATTTAGTATTTCTCAGTGGTTGACTGCTTCATTTTCTTCTTGAAGCAAATTCTGTATTTTAGTTAATTTAATGTGTGAAATATTTTCTCCTTTCTTATCCTGAATCTCTCACCAGTAAATATTTGGTAATTTTTAATAATTAGAAGTATTCTTTAAGATTTCCTTCTGAATAATATGGTTGCTTAACATCCTGTATTCTAAAATACTAAATATGTACAGATTGAACATTATTTTTCATTTATTCAGACCAGTTATTCATACAGTTATTTAATGCTGCAAAGATTTTAAATCTCTAGTATTTCTATTAGGATTATTTTTTATCTTTAAAATGGAAAAGCGTTTCTCTTCCATTGTTAATTCAAAAAACATAATATACTCTAATAGAAACTAGGGAACACAATTTTAAAGCTGAACCTTCATCGGCTCTTTTCCAAAAACCTCTTGTTCATGTGTTGAATGTAAAATAACCAAATTTAACATTGGCTGTTTTGCTACTGCCTGTATGATAAGCAGTATCTAGTACAATGATTAATTGTGAAAAATTGAAGATTGTTATTGCTCAGCCGTGATATAAAATAATTTATTTGTGACTTACATAAGCAACATAATGCCAGGTTGCATGTATTTTGTATAATACATGTAATAAATACGGTGGTTTGAAATGCATTGGTTTTTATTGAATTGGGTTTAAATCAGCATTTCTCAACCTGGGGGTCAGGACCCCTGTGGGTGGGTTGTGAGGGGGGTTTAAGAGAGATTGCCGAAGACATCAGAAAACATATATTTCTGATGGTTTTAGGAATCCTTTTGGCAGAGAAGGCTGAAGATCTCTTCACCTGTCCTTCACTTTTTTTGGAAAGAAATGGCAAATCCTCCCACCAAAAGCCCTCCTCTGCTGTGATTGGCCAGCCTCTCAGCCAGCCTCTCAGACAAGGGGATGGCTGTTTCTGAGACTCCAAATAGGGAAGAGAGGGCAGGTGTGCTTGGCGCATGGCAGTATGGTGCACATGTGCGGGTGAGGAAGAGCTTGTGAGGCTGGTGGAGGGAGGCTTGTGCCAGTGAGTCCCTTCAAGGCATGGGGGTTCTGTGTGGGAAGTTTGGCCCAATTCTGTCGTTGGTGGGGTTCGGAATGCTCTTTGGTTGTAGGTGGACTATAAATACCAGCAACTACAACTCCCAAATGTCAAGGTCTGTTTTCCCCAAACACCAGGATTTTCTGTTGGTCATGGGAGTTCTGTGTGCCAAGTTTGTAGGTTAACTATAAATCCCAGCAACTACAACTCCCAAATGACAAAATAACCCCCCTCCTAAAGCCCACCAGTAAAAAAAAAAAGGTATTTGTGACAAATCTGGTCGGTGAATGAAAATACATCCTGCATATTAGATATTTATATTACAATTCATAACAGTGGCAAAATTACAGTTATGAAGTAGCAATGAAAATAATTTTATGGTTCGGGGTCACCACAGCATGAGGAACTGTATTAAGGGGTTGCAGCATTAGGAAGGCTGAGAAACACTGGTTTAAATATAGGTTGAATACAGTGGTGATACTTTGTAATTCTGACCACTTTTGTTGGTGTACATTTTGAGAATGAGGTGGAAAGCTCACCACATAATTCCTTTCTTTTTTGCACAGGAGAAATCTTGTCAAGAAGCTAGACGGCAACTGCAACTGCAGTCAGAATCTATAGCTAAAGAACAAAATGAATTGAAAAACTCATTGGAAAAACAAGAAGGGGTAATGCTTTCTGATGAAGCCATGAAATGTCTGTTATATCAAATAACACTGGAGAAATTGAGGAGTAGCTGTCTCTTTAGATAGTGCACAAAATAGGTTAAACTCAAGAATAATCATTACTGCTCTTATATTAAATAACACTGTCATAGATAAAACAATTGAGCTTAGTACATACTTTGTAAGCTTCCAGTGTTTTGTATATTAATATCTTAAAGTGAATTTTTAAACAATGCATAGATTTCGCTATGGATTGTGATAGTGTATAGTCAGAAAAAGTCATAAGTAAAAGCAGAAGCATTAAAACAATATCAGTTAAATTAGTATTTAAACTAGTTAAATAACATGTACTACTGCATTTCTTAAATATAGATCTCCAAGCAATTGACTACAGAGCTTGATACAGCACGTGCCCAAGTCCTGCAAATTCAAGGTGTTTTAAAAGAGAAAGAAAAGAACGAACAGCAGTTACAGTTAAAGGTGAAAGAACTGAAGGAATCTTTTGATCAGAAAAAAAAGCAAAACGAAACACAACAAGCAGAATTAAAGACAGCTCTCTTGGAAAAGGTAATAGTTCCATGTGTTTTTCAAGAACCGTTATGTCATCAGGAGTTGTACAATGCATTATGATGCTAGAAATGAAAAGCTGCTCTTCCATCCCCTAATACAAAAGCTGCTAAATGTTTTTGAACATTCAGACTTCGGAAAAAAAAATGAAAGTTTTCATTCAAGCCTGAATTTTAAAAAAGAGCCAGGCTTCAATTTGGCAAAGTGAATGCTTTATTTTATGAAATGAAGCTGATGGGGTTTAACTTCCTCTCCATCTGCCACCACCTCTTGCCACCTGACACAGAGATGATGCCAAGGCCCCCTTCTCAGAACCATAGGAATGCTGCTGCCACAATAAAGCAGCCTGGCTGTACTCTAACACGATTCTCCAGATCATTAGAATGGCAACTTTCATTTCCCCCCCAAGTCTGAACATTCAGAAAGATTGAGCATAGAAATGAAGCATTATGCTTCATAAAATGTAAAGTATACTGCTACAATAGAGTCATATTTGTTTTGCACTCAGCCATTAATTATACATAAATCCTCATGTATAAGTTGACATGTGAAGTCAAGGTTTCAGAGTCAAAATGATGGCTTTTAATCTGATTTGTGAACAAGTCAAATGTCATTCAATAGAAAAGGAAAAGTGCCAGCATCACATCAGTGGGCCACTCCCTCAGCAGCCACTGCTGCCATTCCCTGTACTTACCCAAGAATTCAAAAATGCTTTGTGCCCCACCCTACTCAAAGCAGGAGAAAGTTCCTTTTTCTTCAGAGGTATGGTATTGCTTGTATAATTTGTCAAACATCAGGAACTTCATGTAAGGTTATACATTTCCTGCATGGATTTTTCCATCTCCTATTCTAGAACTCAACATGATGCAGTGGTATTTTTACAGAGGCTAGTGCTAAGTATAGTTAGCTTTTGCAAACCAAATCCTGGTTTTAAACACTTGTTTTAAAACTAATAATGTTTAGTGTTAACCATAATACAGATTCATTGTTGTACTTTGATTTAGCAAGGACAGGGAAGACAGTATGCTAAACTTAAGGATCTCTTATCGATGTCATAAGAAATAGGTAGATAACCTGGAATCTTCCAGATATTTTAGATTGCAACTCATATTAACCCCAGCTACCATGAACTATTATTGTAAGTTAATGGTCTTCTGATCCCAAATGTCTATAGGATAATATATCCTATAGGGATATGTTATGTCAATACATTAAACTATTTTTTATTGAGACATGGTTTGGGTAGTATTTTTGGCATCTTTTCTTCCAGTGCAAATGAGAGAGGGGATTTCTGTTCTGTATTTCATTAATCATAATTTAGCATTGCAAAATTAAATTTGTAGCAAGTCTTAAGTATAGTTTGTGTGAAAGAAGCCAAGCTTCTAGTAACGTACTTTGACACTGATTTGTTTAAAACAAATAGTTAAAATGAACAACAGTTTGTCAGGTTGAGATGAAACAAGGTGTATAATTAAATAATGTAATTGAAGGCTTCTGATCTCACAGATTGCTGGAGAAAAAGGTGGCAGGAGGGAGGAAGCATGTGAGTCTTACGTTTAAAGCAAATAGCTATGGGTTCATGGGTATGTTTTGTCTTATGGTTTGTCATATTTGCAAGGGGAAAGTGATATAAAATGCCAAAAGTACATTGTAAACTGAACAGTGGGGTGACCAACAAGAATTCAACCTGAAAAGGAATCAAGATTGGTATGTTTTGACCTTGTCTTAATTATTTGTTCTGAATAAGAAAAAATCATTTTGTCTGTACCTGTGTGTTAGGCAGAACTTGAGAATAAATTGCAGCAGCAGATAACATTATCAGCACAAGAGCTCACAGCAGAGAGAGAAAAGATAACAGAGTTACAGAAGACCTATAAAACAGCACAAGAAAATATGGAAAAGCTTCAATTAGATATTTATGGTAAAGAATCAGAGCTCTTAGCTACACGGCAAGACCTTAAGGTAAATTACACTACTTCATAGTGTTGGAGTTGTTTAGCGAGAAGAGCATCTATTTTCAGAGTTTATAGCATATATTTATACAATTCTTTTATTTTTTAAAATGTTTTAATGAGTCATTTGCTTCAGGCAACAGATTAAATGTCATGAAAAGGGTACTTGGTCATTTAATTTTTAGGGTTTTTTTACTGCAAGGAATTGAGGAGTTGCACTAGTGGGACTTTATGCCTCAGGTGCCAAAATAAACTGACCAAACCAGAGTATTGATTTGGAGAAGGTACACCATTTGTTATTCTGCCTCCATTTTTCACCCCAGTCCCAACAGTGAGCAGTCTGTGCCATTCGACATGCCGAGTTTGCATTGGGATTTTTTTCAGCAGGGAGAAGGAGGCGGTTTAATGATTCTGCTGTGGTTTTGCAGACTTCAAGGTTTCCTTTGTGTGACTTGTGCTGTTCTGATTATATATGAACCTAAGAAATGCCAATCTTCTCCCTGGATTAGTAACTATTATGATGATTTGTACTAGAGTCCCTTGTTAGAAGTGGGTGACTTTAACCCTCACAGTACCTATGTTCTATCTCATTCAGTTCCTGTTTGTATAGTGTAGTTTCTCTGCTGAACTATAAGCACAATTTGGAAATCTATCATAGAAAGATGCATCTTTTCAGTTACCAATAACATTGTGGGGATCTGATAAGGAAAGGGGAAGATTCTAGATGTTTGTCTGTAACAAAGTAGAGCTCTTTCAAATACAGTTAAAATTGATGTGTTTGGAGAGGGAAGACATTGCTATGTTATCAGTGTTATAATTATTGTTGTTATTGATGTTATGTTTTTGATGTTATGTTTTTGTAATACAGGCATCGAATTGTGCCTTGTTTGTGTAAGCCGCCCTGAGTCCCCTCGGGTGAGAAGGGCGGGGTATAAGCAACCGTAATAAATAAATAAATAAATAAATTGCTAAATAGTTATGGCATAAATGCAGCCTAACCTTTCTATAAAAAAAACTAGTGAAAGATTATGGTGCATCAAGTGACAAACGGTATGAGCACAAGTGATTCACCTGTTGAAATGAAACAAATAGTATTATGATAAAATACCTGTTGTGGTAACAAACAAATATCAATGTCAGTGGCTGAACTAGGGTAATGGCACCATCTACTGGCACATTTGAGAAAATATTTTTGACTCATGCTTTTTCATTAATTCTCTAGCTAAAGCTATAGTATATGTTAAGGCACTTATTTTTAAAACAGTCCAAGGTAATTACCTAAATCCAGTATGAGGCAGGCTTAAGCATGCTTAATTTTACATTGGATTTAGGTCAGTATATATGTAATCCTAAAAAAAGCATCTAATAGGAAAATAGAGCAAACAGCAAAAGCAATGCCATCCTTAAACAATCCAAGCTTAGATGAAAAAGGCACCGCATGTTTTTGTATTCAATGTGTTAACTTAGTATTTTGAAAACATGCAAATGTGAGTAGGTCAATAGGTACCGTTTCAGCGGGAAGGTAATGGTGCTCCATGCAATCACGCCAGCCACATGACCTAGGACACATCATAGAATCATAGATTCTATGATTCTATGATGTCTCCTAGGAGCCCCTGGTGGCTCAGTGGGTTAAAGCACTGAGCTGCTGAGCTTGTTGATCGAAAGGTCGCAGGTTCGATTCCGTGGAGCGGCGTGAGCTTCCGCTGTCAGCCCTAGCTTCTGCCAACCTAGCAGTTCGAAAACATGCAAATGTGAGTAGATGAATAGGTACCGCTCCGGCGGGAAGGTAATGGCGCTCCATGCAGTCATGCCGGCCACATGTCCTTGGAGGTGTCTACGGACAACGCTGGCTCTTCGGCTTAGAAATGGAGATGAGCACCACTCCCCAGAGTCAGACATGACTGGACTTAATGTCAGGGGACTACCTTTACCTTTACCTATGATGTCTCCTAGGTCATGTGGAGACATCTATGGACAACGCTGGCTCTTTGGCTGAGAAATAGAGATAAGCACCACCCCCCAGAGTAGGACTCAACTAGACTTAATCTCAAGGGGAAACCTTTATCTTTACAGTTGTTTCTTTCCCTTCTGAAACTCTCAAGGGATGGGAGCCATTGGCTCATGGATCAGAATTGCTCCATGGACTACTATTTTGAGTAGCAGTGATCTAGGCAAAAAACAAATATGCCAGTTTCGGAATCATGGTTGCAGATACAAGAAGCATGGAATAGAGAGCAAGGGTAGTTGGGTCCAAGCAATTTACTACAGATTAATATTTGTTATACCAGAACTTGAGGATGGGAGAGAAAGGGAAGATAAATAGTGGAAAGAGTTGTGAGTGAGATCAGGAGTAGGCTCAGTAAGTGTCTTCAACATCTTAAGTGTTTATTGTATTATGCATATGGTAAGCAGTCTGTGGTAATAGTAGACAGGTATAAATATTTTGAAAAAATAAAGCCAGTCTTGGAACTCTGTAACAGTTCATAACCTGTGATTATATAGATGTGCACAAAATCTGTTCATTACTCTAATGAATATGTATTTTAGTGATTCATTGCATTCATCTGAGTCATAACAAATTTGGTAGAAATATTGTTTGCTTGATTTTAAATCAGTATGGTGGTGTTGATGATAATAATAATAATATTTTTGTGTCTCAGTTTTGTTTACTCTCATCCTGTGCCAATTTAGTCAGAATCACTTATGTTCTCTGAGTAAAAATGCATATAGATAATTGTGCAAGCCTTCAAAAATCAATGAAATAAATAGATACATGGCAAGCTGTTTGCAATGTGATGCTAACAGTGTTCTATTATAATGAAAATAAAATCATCTTTCTCCACTTGAAAGCATAGTAATATATTTTATTGATTGGCTATGGAACTTAGTCCTTTTTCTATCTTTAAATTTAGTCAATTGAGGAGAAGCTTGCTTTAGCTCAAGAGGAGTTGGTTTCAAACAGAAATCAAATTAGTAATCACAATCAGTTGATAAAAGAACTCAAGACTGTAAGAGCTACGCTGGAGCAGGGTGTATCTAAAAAAGAACACCAGCTGAAAGAGCAAGAGAAATTATTACAAGAAATACAGAAAGATAAGGTAACTGATTTTTCATTTGTCCTTTTTCCTATACTGTTTAAAAATAGAGTTCTGACGATTATTGATCATTCACTATTTCATTACATATATTGTAAATATATCTAGTTACTCAAATCTAATGCTCACCCTTTTTTGGCAAAATGCTCTCACCCAAATCAAAGTGCACATTAAATTCACATATTGCAGTAATTTTAGGTGTTTCAGGAGCTGCACCTAGAACTCCTGTTTGAGGTGCTTCATCTCTAATGGCCAGACTCAAGTGGACCTTACCTGTTTTTCACTCCTCCTCCATTTCGTGGTATCGTGTTTATGGATTATGTTTATATTTTAATGGCTACTCTGTATGTTTTATGTTGGTGGAAACCGCCCTGAGTCCCCATGGGAAGATAGAGGGCCATATAAATACATTATTATTATTATTATTATTATTATTATTATTATTATTATTATTATTGCTATGCAACCCTGGGAGTTGTAGTTTGGTGAGGCACTAGCTTCCTTTGTCAGAGAAGGCTCACAAACTACAGTCCCCATGACTCCATAGCATTGAACCAAGGCAAGTGGATTCATCCTACCACTTAGATACACCCTAAAGCTTTCTTTTCCATTGCTTGAAGCTTTGATGTTCTAAATTACAAAGAGTGCACATTTTGCTGTTGCACGTAACATTTGGCAGGAAATTGGTTTCAGGGTTTTGAAAATGGAGGTGCGCATTAGATTTGATGGTGCATTAGATGAGTAAATACGGCTATCTTGGCAGCCATAGTTATGTGCAAATGTAAGATAAACAGTAGTAAATAAGTTTTGAGACAGCTTATTCAGTAATACTCCTTCTTTTGCCAGCTTATTCAAAATAGTGCTCCCATTTAGTTCCTTCTGCTGGAAGGAGTGGTTAAACCAGAAAGCCTGAGTCTGTGGTTTGTTTAGCATTACAATCTAAAATATAAAGTGCAATATAATCTGACATGATGCCACAAGAATGTGAATGTATATTATTGTTTTAAACTGTTTATTTTATGGTTGTTTTTAATTATTGATGTATTTGGATTGTTGTTTACAGGATTTTAATATGTTGCAATCTGCTTTGCGTGAGGAAGAAAAGCAGGGATATACATAAAGATTTATTATTTATTATTATATTCAAATCAGTATTCCCAGCTTGTACTATCCAAACTACCTTACAACTCCCCCTTCTCACAAAATAGTTAAGTTTATTTTTTGACTGAAAAATAAAACTAGGAGTATTTTACATCACTGCCCAGTCACCTTGAGAAGGTGAGACTGAGGGATGAGGTGAAAGAATGATGCTCATAAAACTGCCTGCCTCTTATAAGATGTCTTTGACATCTTAGTACAGCAACCAACCCGGAATCCTGGATGAGTTAAACCACAGACAAAGGCTTCCTGGTTGGTTTAGAGTCAGGTGGAAGTAATGAAGGGCTCTTGGTCAATAAGTCACAACACACTTGCTTATTTACAATAAGCCAGAATGGTATTTCTGGTTTACTGTAATTTCAAATAGACAGCATTCTACATAGACCAAAGTCGTATCACATTAGACTTTTCATGAGAAATGTGAATTCCATCACTCATAGAAAAGGTAGCTAAATTAATACAAAATGCATAACATTATGATGGTTGTAAGAGATGGCACAGAGTCTACATTGCAGAGTAAATAGTAAGAGATGATTTTAGGATCCAGTGGTATATTCAGACATATCTGTGGACTTTGGACTTTACTTCTGAGTAAATATGCATATTTACTTGCACCTCCTTTGTTGAGACAGCTTCAAGGATTGTCATTCCATTTTCAAGCACAATTCAGAACTGGCTTTGACTTATGAAGCCCTGTGGCTTAGATCCAGACAAACTAAGTGACATTATCTTTCTGTATAAACCTGTCTGTGCTCTTAAAATCTTCGGGTGTGTTCCTTTTCTTTGTATCACAACTTTTTCAAACATTTTTGATGGGAGAGAGGGTTTGTTTAGTGGCAGAAGTTACAGAACTTCCTTGGGAAGCCAAATTTATGGTAATGCTAAGGCAAACCTATCATGGGGTGTTCTTGGAAGAATGAATTCAGGAGAGGGGTTGCCATTGCCCTCCTCTGAGAGAGAGTGATTTGTCCAAGCTTTCCAAGTGAGGATTCCAACCCAGGGCTCTCAGTACTGTAGTCCAGCACTCAAACCATTTCACCACACTGGCACAATCTACTGGAAGGAAAATTCCTAAACATGATGTTGGTTCTTTCTACTTCAAGGATTTGAAAGAAAAGGACTTGGCTAATGAAAAATCCAAAACAGCAGAACTTCAGAAGATTAGCAGCAAACAGGAAAAAGAAAATGCCAAACTGAAGGAAGAAGCTAAAATAAGCAAGCAAGAATTTGAGAAGGTGAGACATAGAAGTTTCTAGTAGCTGGGAATATGCATTTATTTAACTTTTTGGAAAAAAAAAGATATCTCTTCTTCACAATTTTGGTTTTTCCCCTCTTTCTTATTCTGAGTGTTTTAGTTATGTTGTATCATTTTTAAGATATTTGGAAACATATATAATTTTTATTGAGTAATTGAGATTTTTAGAAAGATGAACAGAATTCTCTTGCAGGTTGCAAATATTATATACACTGGTGGTGTGTGAGCATGATGAAATGTAGTTTATTGTAATACAGATGAGCCCTTGGTGAAATTTTGTGATTTTCTTGTCTTTTTTCCATGAAGTTGAAAATGTTAATTTGAATCTGCCATTTTGCATTAAACTGTAGTTAAGGTTTACTGTGGCTTGTCTGAGTTGGAACATAATGCTAAGCTGTTCAAAAATTGTGTTCAAAAATAGGAACACAATCTTCTCCAGAGAATGGAGAATATTCTTGTTACAGCATTTCCTTTTTCTGGTGCAAAATTAATGGGCTGAATAGCAATGAAATGTACATAATCCTGAGAGCCTTTTTGTAGCTAGGGAGACCAGAAATAATACTGGAGAAACAGCAGCAGAACAAAGGAGAAAACTTTGACTGCGGACAGCAGTAAAATATATTTTTGGAATTTCTGTGAAGGACATATTTCAAAGAAGTTCTGTGTAAAGTCTCTTGGAGCATAGAAAGAAGGAAAGGGGAGAAACAAATGTGGCAACACCTTTTACACTTAATAGGTCTTTATTTTAGCATGAGCTTTCATGGATATAAACCCACTTATTTGAATACACTACCAAGTGGTATTAAGGCCTCAGGTATAAAATTTACTTTATTTGTTGAGACTTTGCTGTTTGTCTAATGTAGAGTGTAGATGGCTCCCATCTCATTGGGGAAAGAGCAAGTATATGCACTTCTGATATTGCAAGTACTGTAATCTTATGGGCCCTACTCCCAAGGTAGAAATGGGGAGAGTTAGGATCTGTGTTTGTGGAAGGTTCTTATATTACCATCTGTGTAAGGTATCCCATTGTAAGTGAGTAGTTGTGTAAGATTTGGAGGTATCTGTTTGTGAATAAAGACCTATCTCCTGTACCTTGTAGGAGAGCTGTGTTGTTCTCCAGAAATTTGTTGTAGTTCATTGATGGTGTTATTGGGTCGTAAGTGAGTAGTTGTGTAAGATTTGGAGGTGTCTGTTTACGAACAAAGGCCTACCTCCTGTACCTTGTAGGAGAGCTGTATTGTTCTCCAGAAATTTGTTGTAGCTCATTGTTGGTGTTGTTGAGTTGTCTTAGCTGGGCACTGTAGTTATCCACCAGAGGTGTTATCTGGGAAGTTGTGATTTGCTGGCTTTCACTTTCTCTGATTCATAGACTTTCTACTACAAATTCTAGTTACCTGTATTAAACCCTCACCTCCTTCAGTCATTCTTTTTAATCTTTCTCGTGTAAAACTGGCCTTTAGAAATATTCTAATGTTGACTTTGTACTTCAAAACATAAAAGCAGTTGGAGCAATCAGGAAGTGTCACTAGCCAAAACTCCAAGTTGTTTCTCTTAAAACCCTTATCTATCTGACTCATTTTTTTTTAAAAAAAATCTTTAACAGGAGATAACAAATCTAAAGGATGCCAAACAAATGTTGATTAAACAGAAACTGGAACTACAGGGAAAAGTGGATAGCATTAATACAGCTCTTGAACAAGAGAAAAAGAACCAGGAAGCTATCAAAGATCAATTGAAAAAGAAAGATGAAGAAATGAAGAAGAAATGTGCTGAGTTGGAAACAAAACTGGTCTGTAATACCTTCTATATGTAGGCATGTTTGAATATTAAGATGATGAAATATGGACATTCTTTTTTGACCCATTTGGATTGCATACACTATATATATGTGTGTGTGTGTGTGTGTATTTAATTTTCAAATGATTATTGTAGCTTATTTTAGAATTCTTTTGAAAGCAAGTTTTAGTATCATTATGCTTATATTCATATATATGTTTTGTATCATAAATGATCATATTTTCCATTTGGGGCACATCTACACTGTTCACTTGAAGACAGCTTGAGAATACAGTATTTAAATGATGCATGGTGCAAATATGCACAGTAATTCCCATTAGAGGCTTTAAACCAGGATAATCAAAGCTGGTGGATGCTCCAAAATAGAGCCTGTACTGTGCATCAGGATGCTTAGCTGTCAGCCACATCATACGGCAAAATCATTTAAGGCAGTGGTTCTCAACCTGTGGGTCCCCAGATGTTTTGGCCTTCAACTCCCAGAAATCCTAACAGCTGGGAATCTGGCTGGGATTTTTGAGAATTATAGGCCAAAACACCTGGGGATCCACGGGATGGGAACCACTGATTTAAGCGATGGGTGCTCTGCACATGCACAGTGTGGACTGGAGGAACTGAAAAAACAAACAAACAAACACAGACAAACCTGAATCCTCTATGGCAGTGAAGCCATGGATATTGGAACCAGATTGAAGCAAACCTCTGTGACCTGTATAAGTACAGGCTGGCCTCAGTCTCATTCCAGGGCTTCCCAACTAAACAGCTACATAAAGAAACTCCTTCCTCCTCTGCCAGTTTCACACTGTCCTAAGTGGTCAGTATAGCTGTGCCTCTGAGCTAATTCAGAATGATACTTTCATTACATTTTTTTTGTATCAATAGAGTGGTGAAGTAGTTGTGCATGAATTTGGACATAACGGCTTAGGTTCATCTGTGTGGTTCCATGTCCTAGCCATAAACAAGCCCAGGAGGACCTACCACTTTCTTCTGTTGCTTTCTGGTGGGGAATGTGGGGGCAGTTCAGGCAACAAAGAAGCATTCTCCCTCTACGAAGAGAAGGGAAAGAAAGTAGAGTGTACTCATAAGATGGAGCACACTCTCCTCCCCGCTCCCCTCAAAGCCATAACAGGCGTATTTTCATTGTCTGAATTGCCTCCCATTCTCTGCCCATCAATAACTAGGCTGTTAGGTAGGGCGGCAAAGGCTAAATAATGACTTCCTTAGCCTGCTACAAGACATAACTATAGTTGGTGAAAATCACTTGTTCCTTTTCTGTTAACAGAAACTTCCATTATCTTCAAGTCCTCTTTATTCTTGAAAAGAGAGCTTAGGATCTCTTCATTTAGTCCTTTCCTCTTTCTTATAGAAAGCCGGGGGGGGGGGGGTCATTATGAACATGTGTTGCTAAGGTCTGTTTCCTGTTTCTCTCTGGACACAATCTCTAGAGGAAAATAATATCTGAATATGGCTCCGGGGTTGTGAAATGAAGATTTCTTATGCTTCAAACATTTCTCTTGTCCTAGCAAGCTGAGATCAAGGAGAAAGCTGAACAGTGTAAAAGTAGCAAAGAGGCTGAAGGCAAATTCAATATGCAAATCACAGCTTTGAATGAGAACCTGGGGACCGTGAAGAAAGAGTGGCAGAGCAGCCAAAGGAGGGTTAACGAACTAGAAAAACAAACAGATGATCTTCGTGGTGAAATAGCAGTGCTGGAAGCCACAGTGCAAAATAACCAGGATGAGAGGAGAGTCTTGTTGGAAAGGTAAAGTAGTCAGTAGAATTTGGGAACTGAACAGTGGATTTTATGACCATTTGGGAGTGGGGTTTTCCAATGTTTAAATAACAACTGAATGTATACTTTTGTATAGAACATTTAAAAATGTACAGTTTATTCTGACTTCACAAGTTGATAGACTAGCTGATAGCTGGAATAGAAAATCTAAGGTATGCCTTTAAGTTTTTAGGAACATTCTTAAGATGAGTTTCTTTTGCATATAAATAGGTTACTCAGAAATATTTGCTTGAGTTTCAACACCAAAAAGCTCATGCCTAGATAAGAAAATGTTTTAATAAACTTTTTTATTTCCAGAAATGTGTGGTTTTCTTGTTATTAGGGAAACCGAAGTGAGATAGTGATTTACTCAGGTAGTTGTGACTACTAAATATTTCTTACTAGCAGAAAGGAAATCTGAAAGCTTGTTTTTCTCTGCATTGTCCCCTCCCCACACTTAGGTTGATGTAATATTATCAGTGAAACTCACCACAGACTCTGTCAGTATGTACATTTTTTGCTTTCTTTTGAACTACCAGTCTGTATAGACTGCAGTAAGAAAACAATCATCCCCATGCATATTATCACAGTGATGTTACAGCCATAGGAATGACGATTGAAATTTATTCTCACTGATTTAGGAGATTGTTTTACCATCTCCTCTGTAGGTGCCTTAAAAGTGAAGGAGAAATTGAAAAACTTCAAAACAAATTGATGGATTCAAGAAGAAAACTGGATGACACTACTGCAGCCATGCAAGAACTGGGCAGAGAGAATCAGTCCCTGCAGGTATTCTGTTTTGGTTTTAAAAGACAATCAGTTCTAATATGGTATTAAATTATTCAGGTTTTTTTATCGTATCAGAAGCGACTTGAGAAACTGCAAGTTGCTTCTGGTGTGAGAAAATTGGCTGTCTGCAGAGACTTGCCCACCCTATGGGAGGCTTCTCTCATGCCCTCGCATAAGAAGATGGAGCTGGCAGACAGGAGCTTACGTAGATTTGAACTGCTGACCTTTAGGTTAGCAGTTCAGCCGGCTCAAGGGTTTAACCTGTTGTGCCACCGTGGCTCCTAATTATTCAGGCAAATTATTCAGGTATTATACTGTTCTTTGCTGGATCAAATACAAATTCTATCAAATATTATTATGTGCTTGGACTAGTGGATCAAAAACCAGTGATCTAATATGGATGATAAAAATATGAAAAAAACAATTATTGGCTGAAATTTATGGGACTTGATCATTGCGTTTGATATTTGTGTAGGTGTTACAGAGGGGTTTAAAAGATGTATGTTAGAATTTTATTGTTGAATTTCCTTGGAATAGTTTTGACATGTTTTGAATTTGTTTACCAAAACCTGCACTTATGTTTTGTATAGATCAAACATACACAAGCCCTAAATAGGAAATGGGCTGAAGACAATGAGGTTCAGAATTGCATGAGCTGTGGGAAAAACTTTTCTGTAACAATAAGAAGGGTATGTATATCTAGAGATATTATATGTTAAAAGGTTTTTTTTCTTCTTCTTGAAACAGGGGAGCAGTGTATTTTAAATGTAGTTTTTCAAACTGAAAAGTGTTCAAATAAACAATCACTTTTGGTTGCATTTTATCTCCACCCACAGTTTTGAGGAAGGACCATTCAAAGCTAGGCTTACGGGAACTAACTGGCCCTGTTGAGAGCAGCACTATTTGCTTGGCTGGTGCTGCTTCAAACAGAGCCTTTTCACCCTGTAATTCATTCCCAGAAGGAACAGGATGGGCAACAGTGGTGAACATTCATTTAAATGGGGTAGGGTAAGAGATGCTTCTAATTGTGTTTCAGAAACATCTAATTGTGTCACAGTTTTTGTTGCCCTAGAGAAAATTCAATGAATCGAGTCACCTGCTTTGCTTGCATGTTTATGCTGTCCTCTGTGCTCAGTGGCTAGCACCAGATATGCTTAAGGACAGTGCCCAGTTCTGATCTATTTGAATGGGAGCAAGATGGCAGAATGTCTTGTATAAACTCGTAACCCATTTTGTTTTCTTTAAAAAAAACTTTTATCGTTCATAGTAAAATACTATTATATTGAATACATAAATAAAGTATGTATTTATACATAGTAAATTACATATATATACCCAAGTGTGTGTGTACGTACATAATTTCTATTGTTGCACTTTGGACCACATCATGTCCAGTACAGACAAAACAATTGGGCAAAAACAATGTGATCGAAAGTTTTGACCTAACACCATTTAGTATTCCTAAAAATAACAAAAAAGACTGGAAGGAATTCAGCAGCTCCTTTGAAACATAAGTCTCAAAGTTGACACTAGATTTCTGTATGTATTTTATTCCAAAGCTTTCTCTTTTAATATGTTGTTATCTCTTAATACACCTCAGATAGTGTACACTTTGCTTTCATAATACACTATAAGGGGATTTTTTTTTTAAAAAAAATGCTTCCAGTTTTTTAAAACTCTAAAATCAGGGCACTAAATAAAGAGCAGCATTTAAAAAACAGGGGAATTCCAGACATGAATTAATCAGGGTCAGCTAATACCTCCAAACAACAGATTCCCCCAGGCAGCAATCAGCCAGGCTTTGAAGCTGCATGGCCATTAAATGGTGGTCAGTTGCAACATTCACACTTGCCTCAAGCAGACAAGAGTTATTTCTCCCACCCTGGACATTCCACAGATATATAAACCTCACTTGCCTAGTTTCCAACAGACCCCTCAACCCCTGAGAATGCCTGACTTAGATTTGGGTGAAACGTCTAGAGAGAATGCTTCTGGAACATGGCCATACAGCTCGGAAAACTCACAGCAACCCAGAACACTTTAAGCTTTGTGCTTGTGCACCTCTCTTTTCCTCTCCCACTCTCTCATTGTATCCTGCCTTCTTAATTTGTTAGTTCCATCTTCAGTAAAACACTGCTTGACTGTTGACATCAAAACTGGCAAATAATAGGTTATGCTTCCATTCAAACCATAGTTTTTCAGTTCTGCTTTAAAATCCATGCATTGCCCCTTTCTGTCGTTGAGTGAACGATGGAGTGTGCTAAAGATGGAAGCAATAAACTAAATTGGAGCAAATGAAGGGCAGAGAATCCATATTTTTATAGTTGTTTGGCATTGTGTTTCTCTATATCAACTCTTCCCTTCTCTTTTTACAGCATCACTGCAGACAATGTGGAAATATCTTCTGTGCTGAATGCTCATCAAAGAATGCCTTAACTCCTTCTTCTAAGAAACCTGTTCGTGTGTGTGATACTTGTTTCATTGACTTGCAAGGATAATTACTCACATCTCTTAAATATTATGCTACAATAAAGTTTCTGTTATGCACTTCGTACAACACTCAGACTACTGTTTGGTTTGGGCGATGATTGTAACAATTGGAGAAATTATAGCATAGTTTATACTTTATTGATAAAGTCAAACAATTGTACTTCTTGTGAGGCTGAAGTTATCTATGGCTTATTTGGTCTTGGTCCTACAAGAGCTTCTGTGTTGAGTTTATAAGTCCCCAGTAACTTGTAAATAAAGTTTAAAAGAGGAGTAACAATGTATTTTTTTATCTTAATCCATTTGTTCGAAAGTACCATATTTCACAGTAAACATGTTTGCAGGGATTTTGTGTATTGGATATTGCTGCTGTAATGGCATAATCACGATTTCATGGCTGCATCAGCACTTAAAGGAAATTTAATAGCCCCAAAACAAGCAGCTTCTTACCCCATTTCTTCCTACTACGCAGTGAGTATCACGCTTATGGTGTGTGCCCACTTGGTGGAAAACTGCACTGAGAGCTTAAATATTGTCAGGATATTTAACTACAATTTCACAATATACAATTGAGTGAAAAGTAGAAGCAGCATCAGGATTGTTGTCTATGTTTGATCTCTTTTAAAAATACTCTTGCTTCATATCAGAAGGACTTAGGTGGCAGTCATCATTTTAATATGCAATTTGAAACCCATGGGGTAGGGCTGTATTTTTCCTTCTCTTCCTTTGAGAGCCCTTCCATTCATTTATATTTCTTTGTACTAGTAAATACATACCGGGGTTTTTTTTTTTCATTCTCATAAGAAAGTTTGCATGAAGAGCCAAGAAAATATACACAAAGAAGAGAAGGGCTGGAATTCAGAGATAGGTAGTTCAGAAAGCAATTAGTTATTCCGGACTTCCAACATTTTCAGCGTATTTTCTCTCTCCAGTTTTTTAGTTTTTGCTGGAGGATTTTATTGTATCTGTGCAGATTTGGAATGAATCCTTATATTTATTAATAGGATTGAACATTCTTTCACATTATTTTAAGTATGTCACTGAAGTACAATCTCAGTCATGGATTTTACAACATGCTGGAAACATATTTTGTCCAGCTTAAAAATAGTTAAAATCCTTTCTTTTAAAATTAAATGTCTTTTAAAATTAAAGAGTTGCTTTTAAGCAGCAAGTGATATCTTCCAGTTCACATTTTCTTTGATTAAGGAGGATAGGAGTAACACACCAGAGATTTTAGAAGTACTTCTGAAATCTAGAATGACCAAAATATTAGATGATCTTGGATTTGAAGTTTGCTTTTAAAATGTCGTGTAGTTGTCCTTGATTTGTTTGGATAACAAGTGATTCCAGCATACAAAGACTGGAATAGAGAGGAAGGAAAAAGGGAGTAACAAAGACATGCTTGTAGAAGTCAAGCATCTTATTTTATTGCAGAATCCTGTAAATCCAACTTGTCATGTTTCCATATTAAACAGCTTCAGTGATACCATATCTAGCAAAGCTCCCTTTTTCTGGCATACGAATGACTAATCAGGGTTAGGCTAGTAGTTTTGCCTGGTGTAAAGAGGCATTAAAGATAGCCTGATGGTAAAAACCAAATATGATGTATAGACTTTTCATGTCAGACTGACATTGAACCATCCAAATGTTTTATACCAGTAGTTAGCATTCTTCCTTCCCAACTTTACTTATCCTTTTAAGAGTAATTGTACAGAAAAATGTCCACATTATCTATTAAAAGAGATGAGAATTAAGTCTGGATTAATCATAAGAATTCCAGTCAGAGAAATCTTTGTGCATTTCTATGAATAAACGAATTCTGCAGCAATTCCCAGGTAATACAAATGTAGATAATTCTGACATGAATAGTAAAAGGCATTGCCTTTGTGTATGAGAGGCAATGGCTTTTACTATAGCGTCTGCCACCTGCTACGTTGTTAGCTAATTTATATTCAGAATATTTTGAGAAGTTCCCCAGTCAAAAGGGGTGCTTGAATAGATTTAAGAGCTGTGAGTTAATTTAATTGGTTGAGGATATCTTACAGCTCTACACGGTGAATACAGATGTATATAGGGAGACAAAAAATGAATCTTATGAGATCTGTTCTGTAGTTGGGAAAGTTAAACTATTTCAATAGAAATCCAAGTATTCCTCAGGAAGGATAATAATATTGTCACTGGCACTATGCACTTTCATTCTAGTTTTTCCAACACAATATGCAAACTGTGAAACAACTTTCTGTAAGAACCAATGGAAAAATTGATACAGAAGGCTTGATATTTATAGATAAGTGCTCACTAAAATTCATTTTGATGCATAGGAGTATTATATCTATGAGTCCTGCTTGCACCTGAGGACATAGGTATAGGAAAGGAATTGGCATGTTTCTTAACATGTATTTAAAATAAAATAAGAATTTGAGCATATCAGTTTTGCACTTTTTACATTAGTTGAGTGCTTTCCTTTCTTTGAGGTTTTGTTTCCACCATTACATTACACTAAATTTATGTGAATGGTCAGGCCATAGCAATAAGTAGAGCAGAACATCTTCTACGTCATAGAAGTTTTTTGTATTCACATTGTTTTTAAAAGTTAACATGTTTCAGAATAATATACAACTATGAAGCTAAAGGTTTTATAATTGTATGATACATTTCTTAATTGCTATTTCAGATTTTAGAAAACGATAAGATTAAATCCAGTTATTAAGCCCAAATGAGAAAGATCCACTGAATTAACTGAACTTTCATATGTGTTGATGTCGCAAGCTTCTATTGATTCGATAAACACCTATGAAAGAAAGTTCAGTTGAATGAGTGAGTTTTTTTCTAATTGGGAATTACATTTTGCTTTAGGCCCTAGCCTTTATCATTGACTGCTCTGCCTCAGTTTATGGGATGATACAATATTCTATGCAGCCATTGTATAGCAGGTACCCAAAAAGACTTTCAGATTTGATATCAGGAAATCAATCCACTCTCCTTGTGCCAATCAAAGATGCATCAAGTTCACTGAGGGAGTTTTCTTTTTCAGTTGTTATTCTCTCTTAAAAAAACAACCTGAATTCATGTTATTTGCTTTTTATTTATTTTTTACTCTTAATTTTTGCATTTAGGAAATCCATTGGTGACCAGTATGGCAAGTTGTCTTATATTTCCTTTTGTGCAATATCAGTTGACTCCCAATTTTCAGTACCAAGGGAAAAAGAAAAGAAAGTCACATTGAACTAGCAAATGCAGAGAAATGTTATGATATAAATCTGTCCCAAATGCTGCTTGTTTTAGATTTCTCACTTTTGTAATTATATGATTTAAAAAACACACAGTCTCCAATTTGACACTTGATGCCACTGTATAAGATTTCGTTTTAACTACCTCTTGATATGAAACTCAACCAGTCCATTTTGATCTGGTTTCCTCACTATAACGTTGGGTACTGATTTGTGATAACTGCCAAATTTCCAAGTATTATGCCTCACCAAAAATATATTGTTTGGGTGTATATGCTTATCTAGCTTCCAATTATTATAAACTCACATGAGCTCTTAACTTCTGTAGTTTAGTTGGATTCACTTGCAGCGGTTGGGCAAAAAGCAAGTTGTCACACAAACTGTCCTAGTTATAGTCTTTAGGGCTATATCAGGTATATATTGGCAGTTGGCCACCATTAACATTTTACAGGCCGTTGAATTAGCTTCCATTTCCAGACCCTAGACAAAAAGTTATCAAATACAGTTGTTCTTTATTGAAAGTGTACCACAAATTGTACTGTCCTGTTGGCCTCTTTTTAATGATTGCTTTATTATGGTTGCAGATGTGAATATTGTGCATACGATTTACTGATTTTTCTGTATAATTGTATAAAATTAGAATTGAAATACTTCTGTGCTTACTTTATATTTGCAGGAGATGTATCAAGGTAACGTTACCTTCATAACACTGCACTTCTTTTTTCAATTGGACCTTTACACTCACATTATCTTGTAGATAGTTTTGCATGGCAATTTTTATCGGTTGGATTTTCTGAATTCCCTCCTTTCCGTGGTGTGTTTATGACTTGTAGTCATGTAGTTGTGCCTTACATTGTGAAAGGGTTTAGTTCAGTATGCACTGTAAATCTCTAAACTCTGCATTTGGAAAGTGGTGAAAGTGGAGGAGCAAGAAAACGACACCATGCACCAACTATAATTCTGTATATGAAACACATGGGTGGAAACTTGTGGAAATGTTACTTTTGTATTCTAATCTGTTATTGGGCTGAAAATAAAATTAGACATTTCTGATAGAACATTTGCAGTGATTGATTTGCTGTGCTTTGCTGATATAGAAAGATTACTGTAGAAGCTTCTTTTCATAAGGAGATTTAGATAGCAGACAAAAAAATCTGAAGTATTTCCTCATTTCAAATATGTTGTGATAAAGCCTTTTTCACTTTACTTCACTATGAACATGGCACAAAAGGGGTTTTGCTAGTTTTTCCTAATCCCATTGGTAGCTTGGTAAACAATTGACCAAAGTAATTTACTCAGTCCTGCCTCTTTGCCAGAGATATTAAAGAATGATATAGACAACCTGGAAGGTGTTCAGAGGAGGGTGACTAAAATGATAAAAGGTCTGCAAAGCATGCCCAATGAGGAGTGGCTTAAAGAGCTGGGTCTGTTTAGCTGCAGAAGAGAAGGTTGAGATTAGATATGATAGCCATGTTTAAATATGTGAAAGGATGTTATAAGAAAGAGGAAGTAGGCTTGTTTTCTGCTATCCTTGGGACTAGGACTTGGAGCAATGAGTTCAAATTACAGGAAAGGATATTCCACCTGAACATGTCAAGCTGTTCAGCAGTGGAACTCTCTTCCCCAGAGTCTGGTGGATGGTCCTTTGGAGTTGGGATGGCCATTTGTTAGGGGTGATTTGATTCTGCTTTTCTCGCATGGCAGGGGGTTGGACTGAATGGCCCACTGGTCTCCTCCAACTCTGATTTTATGATTCTTTGTTGTGATCACTTACCATTAGAAGAATTGAATAAGGACAGTTTAAAAGGCATTGGTTTAATTGCACTTGATTTCTCTCCACTTTACATATATCTTTCACAATGTTTACCTACTTCTCTTCTATTTAGCTTGGAAAGCTGATCCATGAAAAGATACCCAGAATTGAAGGGCATATCAGTGCTACACACTTTTGAATGACACTTATGATACGACAACACATTGACTCTATGACAAGTTGCCCATTTCCTTCTCTAACCTAAAATGATCAAGTGCCTGGAGAACAAGTCCTATGAGAAGTGGCTTAAAGAGTTGGGCATGTTTAGCCTGCAGAAGAGAAACTGAGAGGAGACATGAGAGCCATGTATATATATGGGAGGGGAAGTCATAGGGAGGAGGGAGCAGGCTTGTTTTTTGCTGTCCTGGAGACTAGGACACAGAACAATGGCTTCAAACTAGAGGAAAGGAGATTCCACTTGAATATTAGGAAGAACTCCCTAACTGTGAGAGCTATTCAGCAGTAGACCTCTTTGCCCCAGAGTGTGCTGAAGGCTACTTCTTTGGAGGCTTTTAAACAGAGGCTGGATGGCCATCTGTCAGGGATGCTTTCAGTGCGATGTTCCTGCTTCGTGGTAGGGGGTTGGACCGGATGGCTCATGAGATCTCTTCCAACACTTGGATTCTATTATTCTATGTGCTGGGTAGGTCTGCTAGCCAGGAATTAACTTTCCTTACTGTCAGAAAAAAAACCTGAATATTTAAAACATTTTGCTATAAAAGAAGAAAGCTTGTTCCAAGGCCCATCAGTTCCACAACTAAATTTCAGATGATTCAGCAGATGAATGGGAAAATGGTGGTTGAGAAGAATTGTGTTTCTTAGTACACTCTGAGATTGCAGTTTCAATTTCGGACAGCCATGTTTTCTGTAATAGAGGAAAAATTCTGTAAATCTTGATTTCATAAACAAGTCATCAGAGACCTTATACATTATTCATACAGCCAGCAATCTGAAGCTTATTTAAAGATGGTCTATCCTACTTTCACATTGTACCAGAAACTAAGCAATCTTATTGCAATTAGGCAGGCTCATGTGTAGTTTGGAAAAAAAGGAGATGGGAGATTCTTCTACCTGAGAACAATATTGATAGTTGTCCCAGGAATACTTATGGGAATTTATTTTTGAAAAGTATGTTGTCCTGATTTTACAGGTACACTATTCCAAAATTGCATACAAGTACATATATCAACAAATATAAGTAGGAAGGGATGTTAACTTTATCTTGTTTCCTTTTATTATGGTTTTCCTTCATTTTTTTTAAAAGAAAAACAAAATGCATACCTTGAGAGAATCAGTCTGTGCTTGTAGTAAGAAGGCGGCTATGCACTGCCGATACCTATTTTCATGCTGTATTAGAAAAGCATTTCGTAGTCCAAAAGCTAAGGAGACAATTGAATTGTGATAAGACAGTGCTTCCAATCCAGAACTTCATAAACAATAAATGTTTGCCTATCTTTAAACAAGGGTTTTCTAACTACAGGTAAGGTATAGAGCAGATAACCACATCTCATTATCATTAAGGAATCGAGGTCTGCTGCAGTATCAAATCTTTCAGCAAATGTTGCCAGTGTCCAGAACTCTTGCACTGGCAGGAAATCAATTAGATAGCCTTTGTATTCCCTTTCACTTTTTCCACAAGATTTTATGACTTGTTCAGAAGTTCATTCCATCTTAAAACTTGTGGACATTTTGTGGCCTTTTGTTTGATATAATCGAAGTATTACTTTAGATAAGGTAAAGGTTTCCCCTGATATTAAGTCTAGTCAAGTGGGACTCTGGAGGGGGGGGGGGGTGCTCATCTCCATTTCTAAGCTGAAGAGATGGTGTTATCCGTAGACATCTCCAAGATCATGTGGCCAGCATGACTACATGGAGCACCTTTTACCTTTCTGCAGAAATGGTATCTATTGATCTACTTACATTTGCATGTTTTCAAAGTGCTAGGTTGGCAGAAACTAGGTCTTATCAGTGGGAGCTCACTCCTCTCCTGTCTAGTTACCCTTGGAGCACAGATGGTCATAAAATGGAACAAGTCACATGCTTCAAATATCTAGGCGTAGTCCTTCAATCTAATGGTAGGAGAAGAGTCCATGGAGATCAAGTAGCCAACATCATGCAGAGGAGCTCAATTGCCATTCTTAAATATCTTAGGTCAAGAGGGGGCCACTTTACACCGGCAGTGCTCAAACTGTTTGAAGCTAAGTCATTAGCCCAACTCTTGTATGGGGCTCAGCTGGGCCCCTTCCCCAGTTTTGCCCCATTAGAGCTGGTTCAGTCAAAGTTTCTGAGATCGGTCTTGCAGGTACCTAAATACATCTCTAATGCCTCCCTGTGACTGGAGACGGGCTTTATGGAGGTAGAGGCCAGGGTGTTAGTGGCCATACTCAACCTCTGGCTCATAATATCCCATGCACCCCTTGGTCTTGCCCTACTAACCATGGAGGATGACTTCCAATCCACATGGAAGCAGGCAGTAGCATCCAAAATCTCCTCATTGGGATTTTCTCCAGGTGTACTACTCACTATGCATTACAATCAAGCCAAAGCACTTATTAAACAACGTATCACAGATGCAGAGCACCAACTAGATCTGGCCATCTGGCCATTCCAATCTCCCTTATCAATGAAGACAGCAGATATCTTGCCTCTCCTATGTCATATTTAACAAATTTAGCGGTTCCTATTCATCAGCTGTACTCGAAGGCCGCTATTGCAAGATCCCTTTCCCAGAGAGACTCTGCCCCTGTGATTCAGGTCATATAGAAACAATAGAACATGTGCTCCTCCAGTGCCTGTTCTACTGGATATCCGTGCCAGGCTTATCTTACCTCTGATATACACGCACCTAGGCCATTCAGGACAATTTTATACCTCCCTGCTACTTGTAGATACTAATTCAGCTACAACCTACAATGTTGCAAAGTTTTGTGCAGGGGCATACAAAATCTGTCAGGGGATGACTGGTCCCAAAAGTTAACTGTTTATCCAGTAATCATCTTCCTTAATTCTATAATTTGCTGATAGACCTCTGGATTGTATGCTTTTGCCCTGTTTCCCCTCCCTCGCCCCCTATTGTGCTTCAGTATTTATATTTATATTTTAAATGTACTAAATGTACCAAGTTCGTATGAAACTTTGACTTTTATTTCCTGTGCTGGTCTATGACCAAAAGAAATGATTTGATTTTGATTTCACTCTTCTCCCCGGATTCGAACTCCCAACTGTCAGCAAGTTCAGCAGCTCAGTGGCTTAACTTGCTGCACCACCAGGGAGCCCTAAGTATTACTTTAACTGGGGTTTTATTTTTCTTCTTATTATGAATCTGGCAGCTTTTGCTATTTATTATATTGACAAGGTAAGTGAAGGTACACAAAATGTTTAATCCTGCAGACTTTCACTGTTTGCTTAATACAATATCCGAAAAGGTGTTATTTAAGCTGCATATAAGTAACACTTATTTTGAAATACCTGTTATGTGGAATGAATCAATATTTCTTACAATCAGTCTATCTAATGGAATTGGCTGATCAAGCACCAGATAAGAATTGCCTTCTTCAAGCAAAGACTGCAACTCCAAAGAAAAGAAAGGGCAGGCAGGGATTACACTCAAATCAGAACCTCCAGATTTCTGGAAGAAAAAAAAAACACACACAACACTTAATTGAGTCCATATCTCCTACTTGTTTGTTAATATTGAATGTAATTGTGATATTTCATGAATACAGTATCTGATGTAAACTGGAGCTAGCAAAATATATGCACTTCCATCAAAACTGGCACTCATTCAAATTCTTCTTGGGCTAGCTCAATAATTCAAACTGTTATTACTGTTATTAAATTAATTATTAGATTGGTGTGATATATTGATGACCTAGATTTGATAGCATTTATAGGTATGGAATTACAATATCTAGAGTTCTCTAAAAGCACATCAACCACTTGGTTGTATGTTTTTTTCACTGTATTGTCAAAATAGAAGCAATGGTCTTGGAAAATATAAACAACTGCCATGAGACAGAACATGAGACCAGGTGAGTATTCCTTATTTGATTTTCTGCCATGGAGATCCTCTGGAGAGCACCATTAGTTACCGATGCACCATGGGTCATGGAATCATAGAGTTGGGAGAGACCTCGTGGGCCATCCAGTCCGACCCCCTACCAAGAAGCAGGAAAATCGCACTCAAAACACTCCCGACAGATGGCCATCCCACCTCTGTTTAAAAGCCTCCAAAGAAGGAGCCTCCACCACACTCTAGGGTAGAGAGTTCCACTGCTGAACAGCACTCATCATCAGGAAGTTCTTCCTAATGGTCAAGTGGAATCTCCATTCCTGAAGTTTGAAGCCATTGTTCCTTATGCTAGTCTCCAGGGCAGCAGAAAACAAGCTTGCTCCCTCCTCCCTATGACTTCCCTCACATATGGCCATTATGTCTCCTTTCAGTCTTCTCTTCTGCAGGCTAAACATGCCCAGCTCTTTAAGCTGCTCCTCATAGGGCTTGTTTGCTAGACTTTTGATCATTTTAGTTGCCCTCCTCTGGACACATTCCAGCTTGTCAACATTTCCCTTCGATTGTAGTGCCCAAAATTGGACACAGTATTCCAGATGTGGTTGGATCAAGGCAGAATAGAGGGTAGCATGACTTCTCTGTATCTAGACACTATATTCCTATTTATGCAGGCCAAAATCACATTGTTTTTTTGTTTTTTTTGCTGCCGCGTGACATTGTTGGCTCATGTTTAACTTCTTATCCATGAGGACTCCCAAGATCTTTTTCACATGTACTGATATCGAGCAATATGTGTGAGAAAGATCTTGGAGTCCTCATGAGATATGAGATAAGATCTCAGAATTTTTGTTTTGTTTTGTGGACTGTAAAATTAAGAGCTAAAGGCTGGGAAATGAAGCTGTGTTTCTCAAAAATCTTGCTATTTTAAAGATTTGCAAACCAGTTCTCTTTTCTAAAGAGTGCACGGTGTAAATAATAACAATGGGTTAAGCAAATATATAAAAACTAGAGCCAAGCCTTGCATAAGCACATAGTGAGTCACATAATTGTAAACACAGCTCTTCTAAAAACCTTACTTGTATCATAGGAGCAGTTAAGTGGCAGGATATCTTTTTATTGCAAAAGAGGATGTGTATTTTTATTGCAAAACTGGACCTTACTGACCTTTAAATATCCTCTAAATTTTTCCCTTTTGCACACTGAGCATGAAATATACTAAAAACTATCTTTACAAATTTAGCAAGTCCAAAAGGACCCAGGCCATGAACTTTTCTGTTAACATGCATGTTCTTTTCCTCAGCCCTGGAGTCCTTGTTTGTAGTTCAGTGATCACTCTCTAGAGCAGTGATCCCCAAACTAAGGCCCACGGGCCAGATGCGACTCCAAGGTCATTTGCCCTCCTGCTGTCCAAACTTTAGACTTAAGGTCGCCCTAAGTCTTAAACAACTTGAAGGCACACACAGTAACAATCAGTAATGTACAATTCATCCTCCACCCTCTTTAACAGTGTTTTTCAGAAATACAATTACTGCTATGTTCTTTTCTTTTCTTTTTTACCTTTTTCTGCCGATTAGGTTTCGTAATCAATAGCAGATCATCAAATAGAAACAAGTAGACATCAGTAAGCCTCATATGTTCTGAGGAAAAATTCCAAAAAAGCTTAACTGTAATGAGTAAATTACAAAAAAAAGGGAAAAAAAGACTCCCAACCCAGCCCTTCAGCATTACGTCCTTCTTTTAGATATATCAGACGGAAGCAATATGGAACATTAATTGAAAAGATTCAAAATGTATTTTCTTCTTTCAGAATTCTAGAATATTTGTTGAATGAAACAGAATTTGGGGTTGCTCCTTCAAAAATATGAGCTCAATTGTTTCTTCTACTGATCTGTTCCAACGCTGCAGAGTTGATTAATCCCCATGCATATTGAATGAAAGACTCTTGTTGGAAAAAAGTCCCAGATGAAAGGCTCTTTTGGAAAGATGCTCTATAGTAGTTTTCTCAACCTGTGGGTCCCCAGGTGTTTTGGCTTACAAGTCCCAGAAATTCCAGCCAGTTTACCAGATGTTAGGATTTCTGGCAAGAAGACTGATTGATAACTGGCAAATAGAGGGAGAAAACATGAAGTGACAGACTTTGTATTTCTAGGTGCAAAGATTACTGCAGACGCAGACTGCAGCCAGGAAATCAGAAGACATTTACTTCTTGGGAGGAGAGCAATGACCAATCTCGATAAAATAGTGAAGAGTAGAGACATCACAATGGCAACAAAGATCCCCATAGTTAAAGCATGGTGTTCCCTGTAGTAACCTATGAATGTGAGACCTGGACCATAAGGAAGGCTGAGCGAAGGAAGATAGATGCTTTTGAACTGTGGTGCTGAAGGAAAATTCTGAGAGTGCCTTGGACCGCGAGAAGATCCAACCAGTCCATACTTAAGGAAATAAAGCCCAACTGCTCATTGGAGGAAAGGATATTAGAGGCAAAGATGAAGTACTTTGGCCACATCATGAGAAGAAAGGAAAGCTTAGAGAAGACAATGATGCTGGGGAAAATGGAAGGAAAAAAGGAAGAGGGCAAGATGGGTGGATGGTATCCTTGAAGGGACTTGCTTGACTTTTAAGGACCTGGGGGTGGTGATGACCAACAGGGAGCTGTGGTGTGGGCTGGCCCATGAGGTCATGAAGAGTCAGAAGCGACTGAACGAGTAAACAACAACAAAGGATTTCTGGAAGTTGAGGGCCAAAACATCTGGGGACCCACAGGTTGAGAACCACTGCTCTATAGAAAAATAGTGACAGCCACCTTGCTCAATGCTTTTGAATTACTACTACTACTAGATTTATTTATTTATTTATAAATTTAAGATGTCAGAGGAAAATCACCTTTTTTGAAATGCCGTGCTAGAGCAAATTTGGACTGCCAAAAGGATCCATAAAGGGACCTAGTGCAAATAATTCCTGAATTCTTCTTAGAAGACAAGATTCCTAAATTAAGGAATGACCCTGAGATTTAAGACTTGAACAGCGTAGTGGATGATGGGGTCTCTTGGAAGTCTCTCCTTCATAGAGTTATCATAAGTTGAAGTCACTTTGACAACAAACAACACGGGAGTTTCCATAAATTCAAAAGGCTTCTCTTATAAAAAATTATCATGATACAACAAAGCTAGTATGCTTGTCCTTGGCTCTTCACTACCATCATTGAATGCTAAAAGGATATCTGAGTTGGGTTAGGGTTAGGGAATAAGTCACCCCTAAGCACAAATAAGTTCAAGATTATCTACCTTTCTTGGTGATAAGGCCACCACTTGAAAAAAAGAGAGACTTGGGGAATCAGAAAGCTTCCTAAAAGAAGGTTGGATGGGTCAGGGAATAGTAGCATCGACTGATACAAGATTATCTGCTGATTTGTGAGTGTTTCCCTCACATATTACTTATGGTGTGATTCTCCAATATCTCAGTTCACTCCTACTTTGAAATCAACCAAAATTCCTCTGCCCTCCATATGTTACAGAAGGATGAGATTACCTTTGCTTTAGTTTAAGGACAGGACAACAAATTCAGCAGCATCAATCCCTGCATCTCTTTGAGAAAAGTTTTATGGCATGAATATTATTTTTAAATAAACCATTCCCTTGTGCAAAAGGTCAAAAAGTGTTTACCTGAAAGAGTTAATCTGCCCTCATGAACAAGGGATCTCTTCATTGGCGACAAGATGTTTTCATTGGGATTGTCCTTTAGCATGTTCTTGAGACCCTTTTGAGAGGGAAAAAGAACTATAAAAGTTCCACGAACAGACATTTAACTTAAAATGTTTACATATAGGTGATGACTGGAAAGTTATCTTTACAAAGAATAAATATAATTACATGCTGCAACCATCCACAACTGAGAACTAGTAGGATGGTTCTTATGGTTCTACCGCATCAGGCAAGTCTCATGGCTTGCATACAATTCAACTCCACTCCCACTAAAGTAGACCCATTGAATAAATAGGATTTATAAATAGGATTTTCTCTTTTTGCGCTCGTTTTTTTTCTTTTATGTTTTTCATGATTTTATACAATTTTATATAATGGAAGTACTCAATAAAGATTATTTAAAATAAATAAATAAATAAATAAATAGGATTTACAAATGCGTTTAGTCATCATTAATAACTCGTTTATTTGGAGCCCTTCCAGATTGGCCCTAATCCCATGTTTTCTGGTTATCCCAGATTATCTGGCAGTGCGGACTCATATAGTCCAGTTTAAAACAGAAAACCTGGGATCAGATCCTGGGATATAGGGTCTGTCTGGAAAGGCCCTCAGTCAATCTATGTTAGTTAGGGCTTCCCCCTATCATCTTTTGAGACACTCTTACAATAATATCTCGTGCAACAACAACTTCTTTTATATCCCACCAACATCTCCCAAAGAGAACTCGGGGCGGCTTACAGAAGCACATACAAGTGGCATAACCACATAAAAATACAGGTAAAATTACATCAACATATTAAACAATGACACTATCAGTTAACATAAAAAACAACACTTTACAAAAAACAAAAGACCCATTCCAATTTAAAATCAATAAACCACAGTTCTAATTGCCATTGAATTGAATAGTATGCAACAAACTCTTCAGTACTGAAGTTCACCTTACAATATGCTATAAGCACTAACAATGAAGATATATACAATATTAAATAAAGTGTTCTTCTTATTCCTTGTCACCACTAATTCATGATCACTTTTTAAAATTTGTCTTGAGATTGTCTATTGTGTGAAATGGGGAGAATTCTGGAAATTACATTTATCCCATTTATCTGACATGGAGATCTTTTGGTCATTGGAGAGCTAATGATCTACTCTAGAGTGCAAATCAAATCAAATCAAGAGAAACAGTCTCAAAATAACTCTTCATCAAAATGTCCAGCTTATTTTAGAAAAGTATTCATGAGGATCAGGCTAGAGTGCAAAATGTATGAAAAAGTATGATGGCCACATGTTCCCCATCTCTTCACGAAGGGATATTCAAGAAGTTCCTTCCAAGGAGCTATATACGATATTAATACAGAACTTACCTCAGGAACAAAAAATCGTTTGTCTTGATCCCAAAGTGAAGGCCAAATTATAATTTCCTGAAGCTGCTTAAATTTCTGGAAGCTGTCCAACCATTTCACTTTCCCTTCTAAATCTCCTGAAAGAGACCTCATAGAATTACAAGGTTGGATTATGGACAATAAAGTTTCTACAAAGTATTAGATTATGAACATTTAATTATTATGAGCATTAAATTTGCAGCCTCCATAAGAATAGCTCAGTGTTTCTCGTACTGATAAATACTAATGTTTAAAAAACATTTATATAAACTTTCTATTGTGTAGATAAATTGGCCAGCCAGCCAAGCGTGTAAAAGAGAGAAAGAGTAGAAGCAAAAGGAATGATTAAAGATTAAAAACCATAATAAAATAAAACAAAGCAACAGAAATACACACCTGATTAAGCTGCCACTCTTACGCCAAAATCCAGCCCAAGGTGACATTCCATGTATATCCATGAATCACGATTAACATGAATTACCCAATTGTTATAATTGCTTACTTCAAACCAAAATGGATAACAACTCATATAAATTTATTTTGTGCATATACATGCACAAGTAGTGAAAGCATTTGCTTTATGTTCCAGGGTCAACAATTTTGGCATTTTTTATACTATAGCCTACTTGTTGCACTCCAGGGCAAGAAACCCTCTGACTTCAAACACCACACAGCTGAGTAAAATGCAGGCAGTTTATTGATGATAATTAAAAGCAGTAGCAGTAAAAAGCAATCTACTATAAAAGGTAAATCCAAATAGGTAGAAAATGTAGATAGGAACAGATAATCCAGGAAATCAGCCCATAAGAGTCCATGAAAACAAATACAGGAACTTCCAAGGCAAACCCCAAAGTACTTGAGCATAAATCAAGCAAGCACTTCAACATGAAATAAGAAGGCAAGGCATCCAGGAACCTGAGATGACATCTTGACCTAATACCAATATTGCTTCGTCTGGCTACAGATTCTGTACTTGGCACTTTTATCCCTCTAATCTTCTGTATATCCCAAGCGCCAAGAATGGATTTTTTCTCAGCCTTGATTCGCCTATCAGTCTCTGCTGCAATCTAGCAGAGTGCCTGAGAGCCTGGTTTGTTTTTCTTTGCTGACTAAAACACTGTTCACTGGCTCATTAATTTCTGCAGCTGGACCAGGCGCCAATCCTTTCTCAGGCTCAAGGCCTTGGGAATCCTTTGGTAGCAATTCAGGCCCAGGGAACAGACCATCATCCCCAAACCCTTCAGGAACATTCCCATAAGAAGAGTCACTTTGAACATGAACCACATTGTCATTCTCTGCATCTAGAGCAAGCTCATCATTAGACACATGAATCTCATTGTCACTCCCATTATCCAGAGTACCATGATCACTAGACACAATCACAGGCTGAACTCCAACACTAATCTCCATACTAAGAAATATGGAAGAGCTCTCAAAGGAGAGAGGAAGTGCGATGATCTTGTATTACTCACGTATAGATTTTTCCACTCTTTCCTTCAGGGAATCAATTATTGCTTTCTCTGCTGTCTCAGAGTTTTTCCAGATGTTCTTCAAGAGGAGGGGATAACGGGTTAATTTGTGTAAAGGTGCAACTAGCAATTCTGAGAGATGGAGCCGTTTGCAGTGCTTGTTCTGTTCACACCACTGTTGAAGACAGAGGAAGGCCATCTCAGAACCAGGATTTGGGAGGAAGTACTACAATTCCCAGAATGTTTCAGCTGACATGACAATGATCTTAAATACAGACAATATCTGAAAGCTGAGATCCAGATTATAATTGGAGGTTATAATTATCTGAATGACATCTTTTTCATACCATAACCTCCAATTTTTCATAGATGAAAATTGGGATACGTGATGCCAAGTAACATTGGAGTGTGATCAAGATGGTAAGTGTTATTAATGAGGAAGGTCAGGCAGGCTTGGAGAGCCTACAGCAGTTTGGTGATTCCTGAGCCTACTGCAGTGGTTCCCAACATGTGGGTCCCCAGGTATTTTGGCCTACAACTCCCAGAAATCGCAGCCAGTTTATCAGCTGTTAGGATTTCTGGGAGTTGAAGACCAAAACATCTGGGGAGCCACAGGTTGAGAACCACTGGCCTACTGGGAAGGACAAGATTTTGACCTCTACTCTCCATCTCTTGCTGAGTGTCAGCAACCTTTATATTTCAAACTCAGTGTATAGCAATGGAAGTAAACAGAGTAAAAGTGAAGTAAAAGGGGGAGATAAGTAAATTGAAGTAAAAGGAGGGGAGGAGGAGAACTGAGAAAGATTTAATTGGGACTGTCCCTGCTAAATTGGAACAGTCGGAGAGTATAGTATATGAGTCTACCAGAATCTTAAGATCCTTTGGTGGGCGTGGGAGGGAGGAGGATTTCTCACAGGGTGTATCTACACCGTAAAATGAATGTGGTTTGACACCATTTTAATCATGGAGGTTGTAGTTTGACAGGTCTTTAACCTTGATTATAGTTAAAGGTAAAGGTTTTCCAGTTGTGTCCGACTCTGGAGGTCGGTGCTCATCTCCATTTCTAAGCTGAAGAGCTGGCGTTGTCCGTAGACACCTCCAAAGTCATGTGGCTAGCATGACTGCATGGAGTGCTGTTACCTTCCTGGCAGAGCAGTACCTATTGATCAACTCACATTTGGATGTTTTCGAACTGCTAGGTTGACAGAAGCTGGGCCTAACAGCAGAGCTTACCCCGCTCCCCGGATATGAACTGCCGACCTTTTGGTCAGCAAGTTCAGCAGCTCAGCAGTTTATCCCACAGCATCACTGGGGGCAGCTTGATTATAAAGACTGAATAAGCCCAATAACAAAAATCTAGGTTTACTTTTAAATATATCCCAAAGTCTTCTCTTTTCTTCAGTTTTTCCAAGTAAAAGATAGCAGAGGTGTAATTTAGGCAGTATACTTGATGGCTCTGGCACAGGTTGCCTTGGAAAGACTGCAAAACAAAAATATGTCTCATTAACCTTCTGCAAAGTCTGAGTTTCTCACCCCATTGAATTTCATGTGCAGTCCTAAACCCCTTACATAGTTGTCCAGGAAGAAAGGGGAAACTTTCTAACTAAACTAGACAAAAATGGCTCCATTGCATCTCACCCCCACTCCCACCCCTCATCGATATTCTTCTGAATTTAATTTCCAGTTTACTCTTGAGCCTGTCAATCAACTTTCCCGAAAGATACGCTTACTTCCCTGTATTTTGTAAATTAGTAAACAGTAAGGCATATTTAGTGAAGAGCCAAGTAAGTTTAATAAATGTTAATAATTAGCCAAGCAAAACCGCTTTGAGTCCCCCTAGGGGTGAGAAAAGCGGTATATAAATACTGTAAATAAATAAATAAATAAAATTTCAAAACCTTTGGGGGTATGATTGAAATGGGAATAAAATGTGCACATTACTGGTTTGCACATAGTATAAGGTAAAGGTTTCCGTTTGACATTAACTCTAGTTGTGTCCGACTCTGGGAGGTGGTGCTCACCTCCATTTCTAAGCTGAATAGCCGGCGTTGTCCATAGACGCCTGCAAGGTCATGTGGCCAGCATGACTGCATGGAGCGCCATTACCTTCCCGCTGAAGGGTACCTATTGATCTACTCACATTTGCATGTTTTCGAACTGCTAGGTTGGCAGAAGCTGGGGCTAACAGTGGGAGTTCACCCTGCTCCCTGGATTTGAACTGCCGACCTTTCAGTCAGCAGTTCAGCAGCTCAGCGGTTTAACCCACTGCATCACCAGGGGCTCCTCTAGTCTCCACTACATCACTATTAAATTAATGCTAAGTAAACTGTACCCTTTGACCTTAGCTAGGTTGGCAGAAGCTGAGGCTAAAAGTGGGAGCTCACTCTGCTCCCTGGATTCAAACCACCAACCTTAGTATGGATTGCCTTAAACTGTCCTGTTTTAAGCATTAAATGATTCAATAGGTCTTTATCTTTGAAATTACTCTTCCTGTTTTAAATCCAGGTTCATTTTATTCTAAGTTTCCCCCTGATCCTTGAATATATAGCAGGGCATATATATTACAATAAATATATCTAATAAATAAAATAACACTACCTTGCTGAGAATGGCCATGAAATCTATGGATGGTGTTAGTTTGTTGATGTGCTCCTTTATAGCAGTAAAGAAACTGGTCACAAAGTTCAGGCTCACCTAAGTTGAGAGAGTGACGATTATTTAGGATAATTAAATATTGTTGAGATAATTTTATAGACTAGTACACAATGTTGCACAAGACATTGAGGGCAACAATGGGGAGTATCAGTTGCCTCAAGGATAGTATTCAATTTTCATTAATCACCAGTGTGTTGCAGATGCAGCTCTATGATGGTTGCTATTAACCTTCAAGTTTCGTCTAACTATGGCAACCTATTAACTATTATGACATTTTTTTAGGTGAAGAGCGTGTGAATCGCTCAAAGTCACCCAGTGGTTTTTCATGGCCAAGGAAGATAGGAATTCTGATGAACTTTGCTAAAACAGAACTATTGCTTCTTTCAGACAAAAATCCCAAAGACCTAATTCTACATAATTTATATCAATAAGCAGATTCCTGGATTGCTGTGAGTTTTCTGGGCTGTATGGCCATGTTACAGAGGCATTCTCTCCTGACGTTTTGCCTGCATCTATGGCAGCCACCCTCAGAGGTTTGTGAGGTCTTTTGGAAATTAGGAAAATGGGATTTATATATCTGTGGAATGACCAGGGTGGGGGAAATAACTCCTGTCTGTTTGAGGAAGGTGTGAATGTTTCAATTGGCCATCTTGATTAGCATTTAATGGCCTAGCAGTTTCAAGGTCTGGCTTCTTACTGCCTGGGGGAATCCTTTGTTGGGAGGTGATTAGCTGTCACTGATTGTTTCTTGTCTGAAATTCCCCTGTTTTCAAGTGTTGTTTTTTATTTACTGTTATGATTTTAGAGTTTTTTAAATACTGGCTTCTCTGTGTAGGAAAAATGAAAGGCACTGCAGACTACTTCAACCAGACAAGTCAGCCATAGCAGAGCAATTGATGAACCAACCTGGACACAGCATATTATTTGGGAACACAGAAATGCTTGACCACTCTAACAACTACTATGTCAGACTACACAGAGATGCTATTGAAATCCAGAAGGACATGGACAAGTTTAACAGAGAGGAGCATTGAAAATGAACAAAATCTGGCTACCAGTATTAAAAAACTCTAAAATCATCACCTCCCAAAAAAGGATCCCCCCCAGGCAGTAAGAAGCCAGAACTTGGAACTGCTAGGCCATTAAATGCTAATCAAGGTGGCCAATGGAAACATTTACCCCTACCTCAAACAGAAAAGAGTTCTTTCTCCCACTCTGGACATTCCACAGATATATAAACCCAATTTTTCTAGTTTCCAATAGACTTCACAACGTATGAGGATGCCTGCCGTAGATGCAGGCAAAATGTCAGGAAGGAATGCTTCTGGAGCATGGCCATACAGCTGGGAAAACTCACAACAACCCAGTGCTTCCGGCCATGAAAGTCTTTGACAATACATTAAACAGGTTCCTGTTTGTTCCAATAGTCCCTTTTTGGCTGAAAAGGCACAGTAAAAAGAGCTTAGGAAAAACTTTCCATGTTTCCCATATCCAAGGCACTATTTAAATTAACAGGAACCAGATGGAGTTGCTCCTATTATTACTGTTAGTTTAATTACATAATAATATTCAGTCAGTAGCTTGAAAGGTCACTGTGCAGATACATATTGTTTATGTCAACCTCAAAGTTAAAAGTTAATTTTTTGTCACCTGATTTAACTCTTCCAGGTTTGCAAAAAGAAGTCCAGAATCTACATCAAGGAGGAATGCCTTGCTTTGCAGCTTCTGCAAGGTATCCATAAATACCTTTGCAAAAAGACAGAAATGTTCAGTTAATGTAGTTTTTCCTTCTTCAAAAAAGGTTACCAGCTCTGTCCCAGCTTTCTATAACTCAACCATTTAATATAGAGGGCAGGCCTAGTCTGATTGTTCTATTGTCAAATAATCAGGAATTATTCTTGTCAAATTGATATAAAATATCCAGTTGTGTACTAGTAGATCCCAGTCTGTTCAGTCCAGCCCTATTCTAGTTTATGGAATTGTAAAGATGATCACCTGCACATTACAATTCACCACAACACAATTACCTTCTTCTCATTGAATAGGCAACTCCTCACAACCTTCACAGGGGAAGAAACAATTTTACAATTCAAACATACCATTTTGAGAACCATTAGATGATCAAGAAAATATGTACATTCAGTTGTGAAAAGTTCCCATACTGCTTCTTTCTTTTTTGCATCTAACCGATCATCAGTGGCTCCTGGTTGAAGCTGATACATCTCCATGATTTCTTGCCAAGTCTTACTCTATGAATTGAAAATACAAATATATAGCTCTATAAGCATACTACTACACAAAGGTGACTGGTGACTTCCCTACTACTCTGTTTTATTATAGACTCTAAAGAAGCAATTCAAGGTGCTGAACCTATTTTATGAAATAGTGTTCAACCTCTAAGGGGTCTTCTTCACAGTCATATAACTCAGAATATCAAGGCAGAAAATCCCACAATATCTGCTTTGAACTAGGTTATCTGAGTCCACACTGCCATATATTCCAGTTCATAGGGATACAAAGGTGCTTGTTTATAAAGCTATTGTCTTCCCAACCCTGCTATACGCCTGCAAGACGTGGACTATCTACAGACGTCACATGCAATTCCTAGAACGATTCCATCAGCGTTGCCTCCAAGATATCCTGCAAATCTCTATGGAAGACAAGCAGACAAATGTCAGCATGCTGGAAGAAGCAAAGACCGCCAGCACTGAAGCGATGGTCCTCCGCCATCAACTCTGCTGGACCAGCCACGTTGTCCGTATGCCTGACCACCGTCTCCCAAAGCAGTTGCTCTACTCCGAACTCAAGAACAGAAAACAGAATGTTGGTGGGCAGGAAAAGAAATTTAAAGATGGGTTCAAAGCCAACCTTAAAAACTCTGGCATAGACACTGAGAACTGGAAAGCTTTGGCCCTTGAGCGCTCGCTCCAGCTGGAGGTCAGCTGTGACCAGCAGTGCTGTAGAATTTGAAGAGGCACGAATGAAGGGCGAAAGAGAGAAATGTGCCAAGAGGAAGGCACGTCAAGCCAACCCCGACCGGGACCGCCTTCCACCTGGAAACCAATGCCCTCACTGTGGGAGAACATGCAGATCAAGAATAGGTCTCCACAGTCACCTATGGACCGGTGGCCAGTACACCAATCTTGAAAGACAATCCTACTCGGACAATGAGGGATCACCTAAGTAAGTAATATTCCAGTTCAAAGCAGATAATGTGGGATTTTATTAAGCTGTGTGAAAAGGGCCTAGGATTGCACTTTAAAAGTCTGGAATAACATTGAAAGTGAATTCACCACACTCATGATATGGAAAGCACTGATTACCATTGTAAAATTGCACATACATTGTTGTATGCCTTTAATCACAAATCAACAGTGGCTAAGAAAAATTCTGTTTGTGTTTTCACTATTATTATGTTAAATCTGATACACTATAATGATAGAATTATTAGTATTTTATCTTATATAAGGATTCTTCTGGTATGAAGAATCTATGGCCCTCAAGGGGATTCTGCTTTATATCTCCCATAATCCTTTAATATTGGAAATGCTGTTGGGACTGGTGTCCAATATGTTTGCAAGGTCATAATTGGTTTAGGGGAAATCAGAAGAGGAGCCCCTGGTGGCGCAATGGGTTAAATCCTTGTGCCAGCAGGACTGCTGACCATCAGTAGTTTGAATCTGAGAAGAACAGATTGAGCTCCCTCTGTCAGCTCCAGCTCCCCATGCAAGGATATGAGAGAATCATCCCACAAGGATGGTAAAACATCAAAATATCTTGGCATCCCCTGGGCAGCATCCTTGCAGATGGCCAATTCTCTCACACCAGAAGTGACCTGCAGTTTTTCAAGTAGCTCCTGACATGCACACATACACACACAAGAGAGAAGAAGAAAAACAAGGACTAACATTTTTTAAACATCTTTTGGTGTACAATATAGGCGTACAATAATATCTATACCTTGACACTGTGAAATTCATAGTCATCACATTTCGACATCTTGATAGTGAGAGTTGAAAGATAATTTTCCAAGTCTGATATTTGTTTTTGTTTGTATTTACTCTGTTTAAAAGTAAAACATAGATGTTAATTTGTAAAATCTATAGTCACATATTTCAAACCAGACCAAGGGTTGGGACGTTGTGGTTGCTACGTGCCATCAAGTAATTTCTGCCTTAAAGTGAATCTGTCACAAGGTTGTATTGGCAAGATTTGTTCAGAAGTCGTTTGCCTTTGTCATTCTTTGAGGCAAAGAGAGTGCGACTTGCCCAAAGTCACCCAGTGAGTTTCCATGGTTGAGCAGGGAATAAAACTCTGGTCTCCACTAAAAGGTAAAGTTTAAGGTTTCCCCTTGACATTAAGTCTAGTCATGTCCAACTCTGGGGTGGTGGTGCTCAATTCTATTTATAAGTCGAAGATGTGGCGTCGTCCGTAGATGCCTCCAAGGTCATGTGGCTGGCATGACTGCATGGAGTGCTGTTACCTTCCCGCCGGAGTGGTACCCATTGATCTACTCACATTTGCATTTTTTTAATTACTAGGTTGGCAGAAGCTGCGGTTAACAGTGAGAGTTCACCCCGCTCCCCGGATTTGAACTGCCGACCTTTCAGTCAGCAGTTCAGCAGCTCAGTGGTTTAACCCACTGCCTCAACGGTGGCCCCTCTAATCTCCACTACATCACTATTAAATTAATGCTAAGTAAATTGTACCCTTTGACCTGAGCCTAGGTGGTCCCATTTCAAAAGCTGTAGCTGTGTGTGCTTGCATATGACAGGCAATGTAAACAGCTGCTTACAGAATCAGCTACTAAACACGTGTAGAACAAAACAAACAGTGAAGGGGAAAGCAGATAAGCCTGATTCACTCTGACATGTTGATATATGTTTTCCACCAATATGGAAATCATAAGGAAACAGAAGCTGTTAAAAGAGAACATAAAATGAAATGTATTATATGAAATACTTACAGTTCCTCTTTTAGCAAATGGCCACCTGGGCTTTTTGGACTCTAATGCATGGAATAGAAACAAGGACATTATTAAGAAAAAGAAGACACAATTTCTAAAAGATGACTTAAGTACTTCCAGATGATGGTATCCCACTTTTATAGAAAATCTTTCTCCCCAAGCACTCAAAACAACTTTTTGAAAGATAAAGAAGTCTTTCTGAAGAAGTTGAGGTTAGGAAGAAAGAGGGTTGCTGCCGAGGGTAAGTAAGAGAAATCTTTAATAACCATCTGTTCCTTTCCCTGCTGCCACCCACATCAAGAGGGAAGTTCCTTCCATGTATTTCTTCAAGTTGATTTATCCTCAGGTTCAAACCATGTTTTATATGTGAGCCAGGTGCAATATATAATCAGCTTCGAACCAAAAATTGTGTTGGGGCGAATCCAGATAGGCCTTTATCCCAGGAGAATCTGTGTTTTGAAAATGCGGATTTTCCTGTGGGGCTGTCCACACCCACCCCAGAAAGCACACACTTTCTGGGGTTAGTATCCAGATGTTCTCTCGGGACTAGCCTGGGAGAACGTCTGGAGGCCCTTCTCCCCTCCTCCCAAGCCCCCAGAGCCCTTAGAAAAGTAATGAAAACTTACCTGGTCTTCAGCCAGCTCTCCCGACGCGTAGAAATGAAGTACAAGGAGAGTGGGTTGGGGGGTGGGGAGCAATTTCCTCCCTCCTCCCCCTGCTCTCCTGGCACGTTATTACTATGCTCTGGGAGAGCTGGCCAAAGCCTGTAATGGAAGCCGGGTAAGTTATAACTCTCCATCTGATATGTTTCACAGGGATGTTGGACTGTCTGTTAGATTTAATTTAGAGATTGGCAATCAATAAAACAGTGTCCTCCACACAGCTCTGGCGGCAGCTATGTCGTTCCAATGGCAGGCTTTTCAGGCAGGCTTTTTAAAGATGAAGGTGTTTGAGACCATCAAGGGCTGCTGTGCTTTTGTGATGTGATTTTATATGCTTCTATGGTTTTAGCTTGGATTGTTTCAATATTAATGTTGTTTAATACTGTTTTAATATTTGTATATTTTAAGTTGTACTGAAATGCTTTTAGTTGTGAGTCACTTTGAGTTCCAATATGGAGAGAAAAAGCAGGATATAAATAAATATAAGCATAAGAAAAAGTTATAGAAAATGAACACGTCAAACTACTCTTGGACTTCTGAATTTAGACTGACAGAGTTTTGGAGCACAATACTCCTGACCTCACGATCGTATTAAAAACAAAGTATGGATTGTCGATGTTGCAATCCCAGGTGACAACAGGATTGAAGAGAAACAACTGGAAAAGTTGACATGGTACAAGGATTTAAAGATTGAACTGCAAAGACTCTGGCACAAGCCAGTAAAAGTGGTCCCAGTGTTGATCAGTACACTGCACTTGAACACAATCGGCACTGACAAATTTACCCCACTTTGTGCTGGTCAGTGACCATAATAAAGTTTTGTATTGTATTGACAAATTTACTATCTGTCAGCTGCAAAAGGCCACCCTACTTGGATCTGTACGCATTATTCGCCGATATATCACACAGTCCTAGACATTTGGGAAGTGTCCGACATATGATCCAATGCAACAGCCAAAATAGCGGTCTTGTTTGCTGTGTAGTAATCTTGTAACAACAACAACAACAACAACAACAACAGCAGCAGCAGCTCTGGACTCCAACAGATATGGCCAAAGGATTCAAGAGAGGCAGCCAATGTTATCCCCATGGAACTGCCACCTGAGGTGATTGCCTCATTCTTCCTAATGGTAGGGCCAGCTCTGCACTGTAAGCAGTTTACATAAAACTGCTGTGGCCCGTTGTGGAGAAATGGGAAAGAAAGAAAAGAGGAAAAGCTGGTTTCTAAGCTATCAATACACAATGAAAGTGGCAAAGTGTCAACCTAATACCAGCCCATTTCAGTCTCCTTGAGGCCAAAGGGTTATATGGATGCGTGGAAGGGCCCTGGGTTACCTGAGTCCACACTGCTATATAACCCAGTTCCAAGTTATTATATAGGTATTGTTGTCATTATAGACATATAGATATTATTATAGGCATATAGATATTATTATTATAGATAGAAATATTATTATTAAAGGTATATAGGTATTAGTATTATAGATGTTATTTATTTATGAATTTCATATGAAAAGCATTGCATAAATTACTATAAAACTGATAAAAAAATAGAAGGAGCATAGGGCTCAATATCTTTCGAGGAAAAACAGGAAACAGATGTATGGATATTATTACAGACCTATAGATATTATTATAGACATATAGATGTTATTATTTTTATGGTAATTTTTATAGATATTATATAGCTATTATTATTATAGATGTATACATATTATTATACCTTATATAGATATTATTATTATAGACATAGATATTATAGGCATATAGGTATTATTGTTATAAATGTACAGATATTTTTGACAGACAGATATTATAATTATAGACATATGGATATTATTATAGACCTGTAGATATTATTATAGGCATATAGACATTATTACAGACATATAGATATTATGATAGAAATGTAGATATTATTGTTAAAGACATATAGATATCATAGACATATATGTTTATTATAGATTGATAGATATTATTATGATAGATATATAGATATTATTATTGTAGATATAGCCCAGGGTTGTTATAAAGTAAAAATGGATGGCCATCTTTTGGGAGTGTTTTGATTGTGCCTTCCTGGACAGCCTTTCTGAACTCACAGAGCATGGATTTTTGTCCTTTCTTTGAATACTGGGCTTCATTTCCCAGAATTCCTTCCCATAACTCAGTATGGGAAGAAATTCTGGGAAACACAGAGAGAATCCCTGTGAGTTCCCAGCAGCCCATCAGAGGCAGCGAGGCAGAAGGAAAGGATCTCTCTCTCTCTCACGCTCTCTCTCTCCCTCCACTTTCCCTCTCTTGTGCCACCTCTCTCTCCCCCCCCTCTCTCTTTCAGTGGTTGGGTTTTTTCCCCTCGCGCAGGAGCGAGGGGCGGGGGAAGGGTTCTTTTAACACAGGCTCTATATAGGCATTTAGCCTTTTGGGGGGTAAGTTCTTTCCAGTTAATTATTATTTATTTGTTTTGAGTGGAGAACATAAATTGGGTTGTTAGGTGTATTGTGTCCAAATTTGGTGCCAATTGCCCCAGTGGTTTTTGAGTTCTGATGGTATCACAAACAAACATTACATTTTTATTTATATAGATGACTGCAATGCACAAAAAAGCTGGTAAAATGTATAAACACCTAGCTATTTTTAATTCAAAGCCTTTTCAGCACTTTGCCCTTACTAACCTGAGCTTTGTAGAGATGCTGGATGATAGAGGAATTTTGCTGCACTGTCTGATATCAACAGGTCTCCTGGGAACATTTCAAATCCAGGCAAACTCACCACCACTGAACTATGCCTGCGTTCTGGTGAGCTATATTGACTGCAAAGGAAATAGAACAATGCACACCGTTATTTCCAAGAAAGGACACTGAAAGTTCAGTAATTCACTGCTGCTGAAGAGGGCCAGCCTGACAGAGTGACTGGCCAAAGGTCAGCCAATCCATTTCATGGGGGTGGTTGTCATGGGTCTTGGATATGGGATATGGATTGCCAGTATCAATAGGGCATTGGATGATGTTTTCTATTGGGGACTTGGGGTGATTCTGCCTGGCTTGGGGGTCAGATCCAATGTGCATTGTGGGTCTGCTGTGTATCAGGAACCCTAGTGCGTTAGTCTTTATTCTTTTTAGTTCTGTTGTACATTGATTCTGCTATGTAGTTTTTGTTTGTCATGTCAGAAGCAAATAGAGAATATACTGCAAGTCGCTTCTGGTTTGAGAGAATTAGCTGTCTGCAATGACATTACCCAGGGGATGACCGGATATGTTACTATCCTGTCGGAGGGATCTGTCATGTCGCTGCATAGGAAGCTAGGGCTGACATACAGGAACTCACCCTGTCTCACATATTCAAACTGCCAACCTTCAGGTCTTCAGAACAGTAGTTCAGCCAGCACAAGAGTTTAACCCAGTGGTTCTCAATCTGTGGGTCCCCAGATGTTTTGGCCCACAACTGCCAGAACTCCCAGCCAGTTTAACAGATTTTAGGATTTCTGGGAGTTTAAAGCCAAAACATCTGGGGATCCACAGGTTGAGAACCACGCCACTGTGGCTCCTGCTATGTAGTTAGGTAGCATTAGCCCTCATTGCACATTTTCACAATTCTATTTCTTTCAGATGGAAGTCTACTTATAAGCACACAACACCTGTAAGATTCTGTTTTTTTTAAAAAAAAATAAAATAAATTCAGACAATATTTGGACTATGAAGCTTAATTTGCATTACCTTCGTGTATGAAGATTAGATCGGGAAATGAATAAAAAAACTATTGCAGATATGTGATTGGCAGTAATACTGGAAAAAGCAAATAAGTTTTGCAATTTCACATCTTCTGTCATAAAATATGTTCAGATTACAAGGAAGTTTGAAGGTCTAAAAGTACATGATCTTATCTGACATATAATATGCTCTTTTTTCTTAGAAAAAAATGCATTGTGTTGATCACTGAGTGGGTCAAATTTATTCTGAGGACTTTGGTCTATTGGCTGAAAACCTTCCCCACTCTTAACCTAAAGATAACTAATTTTGTGAAGTACTTAGAGAAATGAATCTGTCACACTTATTATCTATCAATACAATTTTTAAAGAAGAATGAATATGTCTTTAAAATAAACACATACATACCTACTGGGTTTATGTAAATCTAATTCCTGGGGGGAAAAGACATTTCATGTTAGCCTTGATGAAAGAAAAGAATATAGTAATTTGCACTCTTTTTGCTGAAGAAAGGGATCACAAACACAAATTTTAAGCCCAATTTCTGACTTGTCCGTTAATAAATATGTATAAGTCGTATCAAGCAGTATAATTATTTCAAAATTTGTGATACTTTTAACAATGTAATACTTAACCATTTTCATATTCTTTGTACAAGTCTAAACATTGTGTATTTCTCCACTAATAACCATCATTTTTTGACTTGATACATGTCTCCTTTTCACTTCTGGGCTCTCCTCGGGTATATCTATACTATATAATTAATGCAGTTTGACAGCACTTTAGCACAACGCTATAGAGTTCAGCAGCTGTAGTTTATTGGGGCACCAGCACTCTTTGGAGAAAAGGGTAAAGAACTTGTAAAACCACAACTCTCAGGATTCTACAGTATTGAGCTATGACAGTTAAAGTGGTGTCAAACTGTATTTTAAGATGTAGTAGATGAACCTTTGGATGCTCTCCATTTCCCTTGCACCCCACCAAAACATAATCAGAGCCAGACTGCTTGTTTTGCTACGTGCAAGATATGTTAATCCTAATAGCGTCAATCTTCTGAAAAACACAAAGAGCAATTGTTGGAGGTTGGGGCTAGATCGGGCTTGGAACTTTGAGAGACCAAATGTAGGGATTTCTCTTGTTATCTTCTGCCATGTCTCCAATTTGGGTCTTCCCCCACATCCAAAACTGCATTGTGAGAGAACTATCCATTCTTGTTCCTGTTTGCACATTTGGAAAGATTCAACCATGCAATTCAGAGCTAAACAAAACTTGTGTGTGTTTAACTATAAAACATTATTATTATTTAAGATTAATTGCAGTGCACAACTTGAACGGATCCAAAACCTGCCCTTCTGCTTCCTTACTTCCCTATTATCTATTCTCTGAAGTACTTCCCCTGAACTAGACTAGTTCCAGTACTATATCATGCTGTGGCACAATAGCTTCAAGCTCTATGGCACAGGGAAGTTAAGTGTGTGTAGGATTTAGTCTGTTATGCTGGCTAGGGAAGTTGTAAAATCTTGACAATACCAGGTTGGGCAGGGGGGAGGCTGGAGTGGACAGCTGTGTATCATAGAATCATAGAGTTGGAAGAGACCTCATGGGTTATCCAGTCCAACCCCCTACCAAGAAGTGGGAAAATCACATTCAAAGCACCCCCAACAGATGGCCAGAAAGCCTCTGCTTAAAAGCCTTCAAAGAAGGAGCCTCCACCATACTCCAGGGCAAAGAGTTCCACTGCTCTCACAGTCAGGAAGTTCTTTCTAATGTTCAGGTGGAATCTTTTTTCTTGTAGTTTGAAGCCATTGTTCCGTGTCCTGGTCTCCAGGGCAGCAGAAAACAAGCTTGCTCCCTCCTCCCTTTGACTTCCCTTCACATATTTATACATGACCCTCATCATGTCTCCTCTCAGCCTTCTCTTCTTCAGGCTAAGCATGTCCAGCTCTTTAAGCTGCTCCTCATAGGGCTTGTTCTCCAGACCCTTGATCATTTTAGTTGCCCTCCTCTGGACACATTCCAACTTGTCAACATCTCCCTTAAATAGCAGAAGAAATATTGTAAAACTGGATATAAGCATAACTTTATTTGCTGGACAGTCTTCAATAAACTATCAATCTTTCATAAAGAGAGCAAGAAGCCAAGCAAACTAAAACAAGGGAAGAAAAATAACATGTTGCTATTGCAATTATCCTTATTATTTACCTGGTCATATTCCTGAGAATTCTGATTTTCCTCAGAACAGAAAGAAGGGTTGTTCTCCATTGTATATTGTGGCGTTTGACCATCACAGAAATCATATTTAATGTGTGGTTGAAATGATATAGAGTCATTGGATGGCGTGTTTGACAGTGAATTGTTGCAGAGGCTGGGGTAAGAGGAAGAGCAACTTTGAGAACATATGAGAGAATGTTGGCTAACAGAAATTAAAGAATTGGTTTGTGACAATGGACTGCTCTCAGGGCTATCTTGGAGTGGTGATACTTGAGACACTGATGACGTACTGCTCCGTAGCCTCCTCAAAGTTGGAGAAGTAGAAATCCTTCCTGGAGCATGTCTGTCAAACTGGCACAGTGTGATATCAACATCATCATCCTCCACTCTTGGAACTTGTAGTAAGTGTGGGTTATCTTTAAAGTCACACCTCCTGGTGATGGCTTGAGGATTCAGTTTTCTCTCTGTGCTGGTTGTGGATGAGCTCTCCTGGGATGAAAAAACATCTTCCGTCTCACTCTTTCCAAGTGAACATGAATTCTTTTCCCATTGTTTTGTATCACTAAGTTCATGATATTGTTCTTCCGCCAGACAAAATTCATCATCCATTTTTGCATCCTAGCCTTTACAGCACAAGATTCTAAAGCAATTTGAAGAGAAATTGGAGTAAAGATTTCATTCATAAAGAGATTGTCTCTAATTTATCTCCTGAATTTTCATAAATCCTTATAATTTTGGTGAATACCAATAACTCTGACACAAACGAAATAAAAAATCATTTCTGTAACTCAGCAAATAAAGACATGCTCAGAAATTATAATATGTCATTTACCTGAGTATTTACCTATTAGTCTTTTGTGTTTTTATTGGGTTGCCCAGACACAGACAGAATTGTTTCTTAAACTTATTCATGGACATTTTGTAACTGATGATTTCTGTACAGTGCACAACCTGTTTATTTTGGATTTGTTCAGTTCATTATTTCTTGACATCTATTGGTTTATTGAATGTGAAACCACAAAGGCTGCAGATCTGTACCATTAATTAAAAGTAAGTTCTGTTTAACAAAGTAGCACAATACTGCTTCTGAAGGTTTTTTTTTCCTTCTAAAGATTTCCTGTACTCTTGTACCTGCCCATAACTGACTTTTGTGAATATATGGTCCTATTTGGATTAAAAAGGACTGGGACTTGAAATCTTGCTTTCTCTCTCAGTCTCTCTTTTGCAGAAAACTACTTTCTCTCCTAAAAGTGCTGATCTTTGTTTTTCAATATTTTTTATTTATTTTATCGTAATTCAATATATTTGTTATACATTTGTTTTACAACAGACACATAATATTCAGCACAATCTACAATACATTATCTTTTTGCATCTACTGTTATTTTGATGCTTATACATATTTTCTATCCATCACACAACAATATATTTTATATACATTCAGAATGTCAAATCTATGGCTTAGCTATCAAAACTAGACTTGTGTGTGAAATTAATTTCTTCCATTTCCTCCATTTCTTTTGGGACATTTGGTACTTTGGGAGCCTATAATGGTAAGGTCCCTCCCAGTACAATAAGCCACTTGACACGAAAGCAAGTGGGAGCCAATCTGGGCTCTTCCAATTCTTTTCGGCATCACACTTTAATGTTTTTTATTAATCCCCCAGCACTGAAGACCAACAGGTCACAGGTTCAAATCCGGGGAGAGGCAGATGAGCTCCCTCTATCAGCTCCAGCTCCTCATGAGGGGACATGAGAGAAGCCTCCCACAAGGATGATAAAAACATCAAAACATCCGGGCGACCCCTGGGCAACGTCCTTGCAGATGGCCAATTCTCTCACACCAGAAGTGACTTGCAGTTTCTCAAGTCACTCCTGACATGACCAAATCCCCCAGCAAACAAAAAGAAAACCCAAATTCCCTGAAAACTACTCTCCTCTTCCAGGAGGTCATCACTCTTCCTTACCTGGGAGTGGGAAACTTTCTTAAAATGCCTTGGAAAGAGTGTGTACATGGCTGCTGGCATGGTGCTACCCGGGAGAGAAAGCGTGGGTGCCTGCCTGTAGCAAAGCACCTCTCCTCTAGAGTGAGAAACAGAGAACTTGTCTCTTAACTTGGAAAGTGTGTGTGTGGTGTGCAGGCTCAGGAGAGAAAGCACAGATGTCTGCCTGCAGCCGAGTGCCTCTCCTCTAGAGTAAGAAATAGAGAACTTGCCTTCTTGCCTTCTTGCCTTAGAAAGAGGGCATGTGGCATGCAGACCTGGGATAAAAAGTGTGGGGCACCTGCTTGCAGCCAAGTGCCTGTCCTCTAGAGTAGAAACAGATAAGAAGCCTCCTTAAAGTGCATGCCTGCCTGCAGCCGAGCACCTTTCCTTTAGAGTAGAAACAGCTTAAATGCTTAAAATGATGGGAAGCAGAGCCGGGGAGGGTGGGGGGATAATGGACCGATAGAAAACGGATATTTTGGCATTGCTGAATGAAAACAGATATCTGCCTTCCTAATTTCAGGAGGCTCTCAAAAACAGATTGGGGCCCCCACTGAAAGCCAGGACACAAAACAGGCCAAGGTTTACCCAGATTGCACAAGCCTAATCAAAACAGCAAAGAGCTGTTCACACAATGAAAAGGAACTTAAGCTTAAACGCAACAGTTACTGTCCAGACTAGCAGATCCAGTAAGTCAGTGGCACTATATAAATTTTGACTTGCTACATTAACATTGGTTTAGTGAGTCTACTCTAGTTGGGACAAACCATCAAATTTAGTCCTACAGATGTATTTATGAACATGGTTACTTGGGACCAATCACTCGGGACTTCTTAAAAATCCACAGAATTATTTTACACATTTCCTTGAAATACATTTCTTGCTAATAAAAAAATTAGAAGGCATACAAAAGCTAAATAAGAGTATCTGAGGCTTCCAAACATTTCATGTTGGTGACACACTTTTTAAAGATATGCGTCATTTCACGACACAGTAATTCAGTTTTACTAGCAAACTGGAGGTTAAATCAACCCTTTAGAAGTGATATGGACACATACAAAAGTTGTAATAACAAAATCTATGGGGACACAACATATCTCATGAAAACCTTTCATTTATATTTTTAAAAAGATACAATTTATTGCTTATTTCACATAGATTCAGGTTTCTCATTATGTATGCGTGACACACCTACACACTGCAACCGGCACACAAATGTGTCACGGCAGACAGTTTAGTATGCTGTGCAGTGGATAAAAGCATGAGACAATTCCAAAATTTACAAAGTTTGATCTGATAAAGTTTCGATAGAAACACTTGTTCATTACTTACAGTATAAACAGCTGACACAGATGTATGACTTGACTAATGTCAGGTTCCATGGGTTTATGAACTGATCCACTAATATATAACGTGGAAATTGCTTGAAACAACTGGTGAATCCTCTTTGAATTGCCCCTCTTAGATTTAAACACAGGCACTCTTCACTTTCAGGATCTCCTAGCTGAATGCAAGAAAAGGGAACCTGTTTTTCCTCTTTGTGTGTTTCCAAGGGATTTTTTTTAACTCAACTGCACAAAGGGAAGTGGCAACAAGTTAGTTTACAGAAGGTAACATGATATGCCCGAATACATAACTGATTATCTTTGCTCTGCAGACACATTTGCTTAATTCCCTTCTATCTCCCAGTTTCCATACAGATTCGGAGATCAATGTTTTGGCAAATTAACCTCCTGTGGGGGAGAAAGGCAGATGAAAGAACAGCAAAAATCATGTTGTTATGGAAGATTTGTCAGCTGCTGTGCCATTCCTTTGAGATCAAATGGGCAACCAGAACAGTTTGACCTTTCCTTTGTAGCTTTTCCTTGCTGTCTCTCAACGCAGAGGTTTCCCATGGTCTTAGAAATCATGCCCTTTTAAAATCCTTTTTCAGTGACTTCTTTTAAACTCCTTTAAAAATTATCCTGGCAACATGATTCTGACATTCAAACTGTCCCTGCCTAACAGCTTGGCTTCACATGCATGTTGATGTTATAGTACTAAAAGAGATTAATATTATCTGATTGTGATAAATCTATATTTATTAAGATTATGAAATTCTTTCTAGGACTAGAATACTTGTCCCATAATTTTGTTTGACAACATTAATACATTATATTATTATATAAAAGATGGGCTTGAGGATGATGATGATAAGAGTAAAAGTAAAGGTAAAGGTTTCCCTTTGACATTAAGTCTAGCCGGGTCCGACTCTCATCTCAATTTCTAAGCTAAAGAGCCAGCATTGTCCGCAGGTGCCTCCAAGGTCATGTGGCCAGCATGACTGCATGGAGTGTGGTTACCTTCCTGCAGAAGCGGTACCTATTGATCTAATTTTATATTCCATATTACATGTAATATTACTAATAATATTACAGTATAGTGGTATAGTATAATATAGTAATACATCACTCTGAGTCCCTTTTGGTGTAAGAAGGGTGGCATATAAATGTTGTAAATAAATAAAAGAAAAAATATTGACAGAAGCTGGGCATAACAGCGGGAGCTCACCCTGTTCCCCAGATTTGAACTATCGACCTTTCGGTCAGCAAGTTCAGCCACTCAGTGGTTTAACCTGCTGCGCTACTGTAGGCTCCAATGATGATAATAATCTGTAAATTATATGTACTATATTGGAGATTGGGTTGAGAGTAACAGTAATGATGATGATAATATTCTCAAAGACATAGATGTCTTAATCTGGAATTTCCTTTGCATGCAGATCCAGATGAATATAACCCAGTTCAAAGCAGATAATCTGGATTTTATATGGCAGTGAAGAAGGGGCCATAGTCTCGCCATAGTGGGGAAGACTGTGACCAGTCATGTGGATATAAAAATCCATGGGTGCTTGATGAATCTGCTGTTTAGGTGCTAAATATTGATCTCTTTTTAGGATCTGGTTTTTAAAGAAAGAACTGTTTTCGAGCAGCCCTTCTATGTAGGGTGCATCTACACTGCCCTATATACCTGGATCTGATCCTAGATTATCTGCTTTGAACTGGATTATATGAGTCTACACCTCCAGATAATCTGGGATAAACAGGAGGCTGTTCAGATCCTGAACTGATGCTTATCTGCTATGACGATCTGGATGAGGGCAAACAAATTGAATCTGAATCCAGACAAGACAGAGCTACTCCTGGTCAGTCGTAAGGCTGAACAGGACATAGAGTTACAGCCTGTGTTGGATGGGGTTACACTCTTCCTGAAGACGTAGGTTTGCAGCTTGGGTGTGATCCTGGATTCATCGCTGAGCCTGGAACCCTAGATTTCAGCGGTGACCAGGGGAACGTTTGCACAGTTAAAACTTGTGCACCAGCTGACTTGGCCATGGTAGTCCACGCTCTGGTTACATCCCGTATAGACTACTGCAACATGCTCTATGTGGGGTTGCCTTTGAAGACTGTCCGGAAGCTTCATATGATCCAACGAACAGCAGCCAGATTGTTAACAGGAGCAGCGCTCAGAGAGTGTACAAATCCTCTGTTGTGCCAGCTCCATTAGCTGCCAGTTTGCTATCAGGCACAATTCAAAGTGCTGGCTTTAGCCTATAAAGCCCTAAATGGTTCTGGCCCAACTTACATGTCCGATTGCATTTCTCCTTATA